CATCCAGGGCAACTCCTGCTCAAAGCAGGATCAACACTGGAGTTAGACCAGGCTGATCAGAGCCTTGTTCGGCTGTGTGTGGAAGCCTCCAAGGATGGAAGATCCACCATGTTTCTGGGTCCCTGTTACAATGTTTGTTTGTTTATCCTCTGGGTGAAAAATGTTTTCCTGTGTCCAGACTGAACCATTTCTATTTCACCATCTCATCCTCCTGCCATGCAGCACTGTGAAGAGCCTGGCTTTGCTGGCTCTGTCTTCCTGTAGAACCCTCTTCCCTACCCAGGTTATCCCTGAAGCTGAGGGAAGGGCAGTAATTGCTTCCCTCCAGCTCCTGGCTCTGCATCAGTTGTCACAGCCCAGCATGCTGTTGGCTTTTCTTGCTGCCTCACATTTAATCTGCCCAGTGCAAGAAGCAGTGGGACCAAGACCGATTTTTCTGTCCCTCAGACACCCAGCAGCATGTCTCCTTTGCCATGGGAATTTTATTCTGGGAAGTCAAGGATGTTACTGAAGCTTAGGGTACACAAAGCCAAGGTTTCAGCAAGCAAAGGGAACAGGAATAACCCATGTGAAATTCCTCACATAAACTTTTCTGCGTGTGTAATTAATATGCTTCTCCTAAATAGGCCTGGGAAGGGAGAAAAGCCTGATAAATGATATGTTGACAAAAAAAAGGAAAATAAAAAAGACTGGAGAAAAGCACTGAAGTGAGCAGAAATTTGCTGCTGATTCATTAGGTTCATGGTTTCACCTGTTGAATCTGTAGTAGTAAAACACGTGGAACAAGGCTCTGTAGCTACAACAGAGAAGTATCCAGGAAAGGATCTGCATTCAATGCAGATATCTCTGCTAGAATAAAAACAAGAGCTGTGGAGCAAACCCAGAGAAGTTTGAATTAGAAATATTCCAGAGGAACTGCCTGGCAGCACTTGGCAATTGTCAGCTGCTGCTAAAAGTAATTTGTTTCCTCTGGAAGATATGGTAGGAACTCCAGGCTGAAAAGTATGTCTACAATTAATATCTTTTCACACTAACAGATGTAAGTGGAGTGCTGACAGCGTAGGATGCTTAACTGCAGGCAGGATACTGGATGCTGAACAGGGAGGGGATGGCATGCAATGAGAGTGGAGAGTGCTGGACTGGAAGTGGAAAGGTCTCTGTTACATCCTAGGGGGAGTTTAAGCAAGAATTTGTGGTTAACCCTCCTGTGTGAGTGCATCTAGTAGTAGGGCAATTATGGGGGGAAGGGTCAAGGCAGCTGCAATCAACCTGAGTGATGTACCTGCTGAGGAAAGGCTGCTGAGTTTGGCAGAGGGGATACTCTTGGAGCCTGCCAGATTAATTTCAGAATATTCCAACTGAAAGCGTTGCAGAAAAGGGTGAGAAATGTTGTACAGGGAACTGGTGCGAATTCCATCTGGAAGAGTGAGTGTTGTTACTCTGCTACTATTTACAGGGATTAAAAAAGGGATTTTAGCACTTACTTGAAATGTTTACCTAGGATAAGCAGTAAAACTCCCAAAGCCTCCCCTCTGAAAACTGACTGAATCATTTGTTGGAACTCTTTGGTCTAGGGTGCTCTGAGGGTGTTAAGTCTTAATTTTAAGTATTAGGCAAGCCTAATGAGCAGAGTCTGTATAACATTCACAGCAATTATTGTTAGGCTCAGAGTGAGAGCATGTTTTACAATTTCCAAATTGCCTTGTTCTAAGAAAAGATGATACTTTAGATTTGAACCTCTATCAGTTTGTAGTCTGCTTGTGTAATAAACACATAGAGAAAAAAAGGGAAATGGAGTTCCTGGCTTGGCTTGAGAGAACTTCTGGTAAACATTGTCTCTAATGGAATTACATTACCAACAACAATGAAGAGTTGCCAAAAATACATAAATGTATCTATCTCAGGGGGGGAAGCTATTAATGAGATTGTCCTTCTATGAGTAATCCTGTACCCAGACCACCTCCTATGAGATTATCCTTTGAAGAAACAAGCCCACTGAGAAGTCCTGCTGTGTTGGAGGGAGTGTTGTGTGGAGCAATTAACCGCGGGAACAGCAATGCTGATTGCAAGTGGCTGCTGATCCAGCGAGGAAGATCCACATACCAAAACCAAGTGAAGACAGGAGCGAGGCACGAGAGGGGCATGGAGTACCACACCCTGGAACAAACAGGGGTCACGTTGTGCCCTCAGTGGGCAACACGGTGAGTTTCCAAAACCAGTTTGGTTCTAGTTTTGTTAGCTCATGCCTGAGTTAAGAGATAAAGGCGACAGAATTAAATAAGCAAACATGTTAGATTGACACTGATCTGCTACAGAAAATAAGGATGAATATAAAAATAGGTAGGCAGTGTGTCTCTCAGCACAGCAAACAGTTTTACATCTGACAGCAGAGGGGTGCTGTTGTGACTATCCTGTGCTGTGCATTTTGTCCAGGCAAGACTTCTCTAGCACATAACACTTGCTCAGTGTGGAGCTGTCACGAGAATGGTGTGAGGCAGGCTGGCACACTTGCTATAAACTGCAATTTTCCTAAGTTTTTATTCTACTGATGGACTTCCATTCCAGCCAATTTCAAAGTGTGATAGTTTAGCAGGAAGCAAAGCCAGTGTACGGATCTGCCCCTGGCTGGCAGGTGGGAGAGGTAAGTATACAAGTGGTCACATAAGCAGGCAGGTAAATGTGAATTGTAAATGGTAATCGTAAGAATTAAAGTTGGAATCACAACTCACTGGAGAGCAGATGGAGGAGTGGCAAGAAGGTACTCTGCTCAGGGGGTGCAGATTGGTGACAAAGTGACTGAAAGCCAGCAGCAGCAAGGCAATGCTTTAGTACAGCAAGAGCTTCTGGGGCAGGCTGGTGGGACAGCCCAGCCACAATAAATACATGAGAATTTGGGAGCTGCTTCAAAGCGCAACAAACCAGAATCTTGCTGTTTCAAGTATACAAATTTCCATTGTGTGAAAAATCAAAAAAAAAAAAAAGGAACATAAATGTGAAATTGGGCAAAGGCTTCAGGGAACAACATAAGCACTTGAAATATACTGTAATATCTTAGTGTCTACCCAAGCACCTTTACCCTGTTCGCTGCAGTGGTATTCACAGCCAGATTTGACATGTGGGTTTCCCTCTGAAGTGGAGGGGAGGTCTGCTTCTCCTCACTATAATTTTTAATTGAATTTATGCTCAGTCAGCATAACATGATTGCTCTAAAGATGGCTTCTGTCTGCTCATAATAAGGTTAAAACTCAATTAGTAATTGCAGCACCTAATAATGTTTCACCACTTGCCAGAAGGCCCAGCCAGCACCTGGCCAGCAGCAGGTAGCAGTTCAGCACATCTCTGTGCAGTGGTGATGGGCCGCCCTCCCTGGCAGCAGTGAGGTGGGACAGGCCATCCTGCAGGGCCCCCTCCTCCTGCCAAACCTCCCACAATCTGTTCCCTGCACTGAACACTGTATCACAAAAACGTTAACACAACACTGTTCACGCCTGTGCTCTGTGGTATTTATCAGTTCCTTGAAGATGCACAGCTGCTAGGGAAACTGCTGAGATGATAATGAGGTTTTTGATGTATTTATGTGAGGATTAAGATTTTTTTTTTTTCATCTCGAAGAAATTAATTTTACTCTAATCAACAATTGTAACAACCAATAAGCGTCATGAAAATTTGTGTGACCATTAGGCAACAAAGCCCCAGATGAAGCCTGTTGTGTTTGTGTTTCGTCCTAAGGTTTTTACTTTCCATTTCCGTTCCCACCTGACCCTGATAAACTCATTTTTCCACTATACCCTTAGAACAAAACAAATTATAGTTCTTTCTCTCTCCCTTCAAGGTCTGCCCAGTTTTCCCATTAATCGTGCCTTATTATTTACCTGCAAAGTTACCAAACACTGGGATTTGTCATGGTGCCAATACTTACCTAAAATACCAATTTTAGCATCTGTATAGACAACTGACCTTGGTTGTATGCAATGTGTAAGTTGATAGAGAGAAGGTAAATTAGAAATATGTCGTCTCTAATTATGAGAGAAAATGGATAGACATTTGTAATTCGAAGGCATCCAGGAGAAAAGAAAACTTGAAAGGTATAAATAAGAACTCTGCCAGCAAAGGGACATTTGAAATGGTATTGCCTTGCGTTTTGTAATTGGCCACATAACTTGGGACAATAACACACTCCTAAAAACCCCTCACACATAGTTCCTGTCATTTTTGTCAAGGTCTGCTCCTTTCAGCCTGGTTTACGTACAAATTTTTGAGAGAAACGCATGTGCCGTGGGGGACACCTTACATCTCCTGGGTGAATCTTCCAGGCGTTCCTTCACAGGAATGGTGTGAACAACTTGTCCTTTGGATAACCCTTCACAGCGATTCACCTGAGCGCTGCTGTCTTACATTTTTAACAAAATGAGTTACATTTTTAATGAAAGCCATTTGGGGGGATGTCCCTAAAAAAACTGTCTGGGAACACGGACCCTCAAGGGCGCTGTGGGGTCTGAAGGGGTGAGGGGGTGTGACCAGTGCTGGGTGTGTTGGGGGTGGGGCCATGACAGGGTGTGAGCACGTGTGTGGGCGTGGCCAGACACGGGTGTGTCAGGGGGGTGGAGCAGTGGCTGGGTGTGGCTGTGTGGGCGTGGCCAGGCACAGGTGTGTCCGGGGGGGGCGGAGCAGTGACTAGGTGTGGCTGTGTGGGCGTGGCCAGCCGCGGGTGTGTCCGGAGCAGTGACTGGGTGTGGCTATGTGGGCGTGGCCAGGCACAGGTGTGTCCGGGGGGCGGAGCAGTGGCTGGGTGTGTCCGGGGGGCGTGGCCAGGCACAGGTGTGCCCGGGGGGCGGAGCAGTGGCTGGGTGTGGCTATGTGGGCGTGGCCAGTCGCGGGTGTGTCCCGGGGGGCGGGGCCGTGTCCCGCTCGCGCCGGTGCCGGTGCGGCGCGCGCGGCCCCGCCCCGCCGTGACCTCAGCGCGCGCCCCACGTGATGCAGGTGCGGCCCCCGCCCCGCCGCTCCCGGTGATCCCGCCCGGCCCTTCCCGGCCCTTCCCACCATTCCCTGCCCTGCCCTGCCCTGCCCTGCCCTCTGCGGATGCGCCGGAGCCCTCCCCGCCCCCGCAGGTCTGTCCGCGCCGGTGAGGGGCGGGGGGCGCCGGGGCCGGGCCGGGCCTGGCCGCGCAGGCCCCCGGGGCCGCTCGCCGTGCGGCTGAGGGGGTCGCGCCGCGGGCCGGGGCGCGGGGCGAGCGGGGACGGCCCCTCCTGGCCCGGGCTCCGGGGGCGCCTCGGCCCCGCCGCACCGGGAGCGCTCCGGAGCCCCGCGGGCTGCGGGCCCCGGGGGCGGCCGCGGTAACCGGGACAGCGGGGAAGGACGTGCCCTTGCGGTACGGGGAGGGCAGGAGAGCAAACCCGACCCCTCCCATATACTGCTCCCTGCCCTTTCACAGTGCGTTGGTAGCCTGGAGTACCGCGGGGGTGTCATCCCCTCGGACCCTGGTGATGTTATCCCTGTGGCGCTGCGGTGATGTTGTCCCTGTGGTACCCACCGGAGGCGGTTTTCCCGAGGGGGCCGTAATAAATCTATTGGTTTCCTGGCACTGAGATCCCTCCGTTGCCCAAGGTTTACAGTGTGTGCCTTGTGGCCAGTGCGCTGCTCGAAAATTTCCTTCAGGCTGAACTTCTGGATGGAGAATTGTGTTTCTCTGTACAGTGTGGCACATCTGTGCTGGGGGGAGGAGAAACGTTTAGCACTTGGGGGTTTATATCTGTGAAGTAGCCTTGTTTAATAAGGATGTTCCGTGCATCGCTAGCTTAAATTATCTGTGACAGGCTTTCGGAGAAACTTTATTATCTTCATTTGTTTTTTTCACTGTCAGCCTTGTTTTATTAGAATTTTTCAGTCTTAAAAAGTGCTTTAGGAGTGAGTTATATGCAGAATGTAGAGAAAATGACCATGATAGTGGATGAAGGAGTGCTTTTGTGAAATATGGGCCAGGCTTATTAATGACCACTTCTGCAGAGCATAAGGAATATTTGTTAATGTTGGTAACAGGGCTTCATGCGTGTTAAGAAACTCGGTAAGGTCCTTGGCAATTCCAGGAGGATAATGATTCGTATGTGCAACATATTTATATTTAAAGTGATTTTGTAAATAGCTGGATAAAGACTTCATTATCAGAAGTGCCTTACTGTTTTCTGCGTGCTTCTGTTGCCCTCTAGAAACCTGGAGAGAACAGTTCACAAGACTGCCTGTGACAATAGGTCACTTTTAGAACTGGAAGTGCCAAGGTGAAAGCTAAGTCGCCGCTTGGGACAGAACAGCTGCAGAAATTTTCAGCTGCTCAGGGCTTTCATTTAGTTCCACCATTTTGAGGGTGCTTTGGTGCATTAAATATCAGGTTGTTCTTTTGGTTCACTGCTGCTTTCTTATTTTTGACCTCTGGCAGGGATTTAATTAATATCATCCTTTAGGTTGCTCTTGGCTCAGCTTGATTCCGTGCCAATCACAGTTTTCATTTCAGGGTTGGTTTAGGAAGCATAGTGGAGTGGAACAGGTCTAACTATTTCCGACTTCTGCCTGCTGTCCTGTGTGCAGGTTTTTGACTGACAGCCTCAAGGCTGAGTGGGCTGGAATGGTCTATGATCACGCTGGTGGTCTCTGGTTTGTTTAGCTGCTGACAGCTGACATCTGTGCTGAAAAGCAGTGTGTGCAACACAAAGAACCAGGAAGAAGTCAGGTTTTTTGAGTCATATTCATCCGTAGTGAAATCTGACTGGAATTAAACGATTGGTGACTCTGTCCATTTTTGTTTTATACATGTGTAAAAATGGATGCATTACTTTTTCATGAGATAGGAATAGTGCCTGTGGTAACAGTTTTCCTCACCTGTGATCTTTATATCTTCACAGGAGTGACCATAGCTCTTACAGATTGCATATTCAGTAGCTCCACTTTGAAGTATGGTTCTGACCCCATTTTGAAATTCAAATGGAACTGAAGGGAAGTGACTGGTACCACTTACAAGCTCTTTGTTTCTGTTATATATTATGTCATTTGCATCCATTTCCAAATCTCCCTGACAAATTGTTGCTATTCTGCTATGTGTTCTTTACTAAATGCTAGAAAAAAGAGCTGCACATTCTTCAGGCAGACATATTGTGAAGAAAGAATGTGAAATTACCCCTACTTAAGAAGCTTACCACTGTAGTATGATAAACTGAGAAAAATGTTCCTCTCATTCTCTTATCTCCCACATCTTTGCAGAGCATTTTGAATGAGGTTAAGGAACCCTTTGGGAATGATTGTCCACCCCTGAGGTACTGGGAATGATTGTCCACCCCTGAGGTGTCTGTGCAAGAGTTTGGTGATAGAGGGTGAGATTTGCATGCAGTAAGATAGGTAGAATAATAATTTCTTTCATAAAGTTGTAAGTGCCGTGGTGGCCTCTCTGTTCTCACTGTTATGTTGAAATCTAACCAAGTTTTGCAAAATGACATTGTGCATACACAGTGTTACATCTTAGAGAGAATTATGTGTGCAGACATTGTATTATCTCTGTCAGTGCTCTTGCAGTCACTCTGAGGTTTTGCAGGACTTAATGTACTTTCAGAATGGTGCTGGTAGTACTTCTGATCTTACAGTTGCCTCGGAGCCCGGATCAGAGATGAGGTGTTGACACAGGAGGAAATTGGTGTCGTAGTAAGCTTTGAATCTGTGAAATGGGAAAGGACAAGTGAATATTGGTAGATAGGAAATAATGCTGATGTGTGGGGATTCAGCGTATCAGTAGCCTAACTGTTGCCATTTTGCTGCAAATGCCCAATGGAGAGAGAAGAGTGTGTGGTTTTGAGGGGTTCATAGGTTTAAAGGAGAATACTGCCTTGGGAGGATGCTTTCCGTGTGTCAGGCACCATGGAGAACGTGGACAAGTGCTTGCTTGGAACATTGAGTAAGTGGATGATGGCAGCTGGTGTTAGGAACTTCTACTGGGTGAGAGTGAAGAGGCTGCAGAAGTCTTGAAAGTGGAAACTGGGGAATTTGGTGTGATAAAGGAGGAGAGTTCCCTGCTGGGATGATACAGTTCAAGGCAGCAACTAGGAAAGGTCACCGGCACTTAAAATAGATGTGGAGTTAAAACTGTAATGCCACAGAAGACAAAGGAGTAATACTGTTTTATTTAGTAAGAGCCCTTTTTCTTTTTTTCTAAAGACTAATATTAACTTTTTAATCGGAGGATGAAAAATGCAGCTCTTCCCATCCCTTAGAAATTTAGGAGTTTTGTAACCATATATTTTGTTTTTTGAAGCGAGGGGGTAAGAGGAAAAATAGTGAGAAAATAATTTAATGGGATTTATATACAGAAAATGATTGCACAGAATTTTTAAGGTATATATTAATTTTTGAATTAGAGATAAAGAAAACTTAACATGTAGTAAGGAACATTAAAATGTGTTCTATGACTCAAAATGACAGTGTTGTTTTTAAAACACTTTGAAGTTCACTTGGAAGCTCAGTACCTTTGTTTCTTTTTAACAACTGTTCAACTGGTCACACCAAACAACAAAAAACATTGTATTTTATCCTGTGGCCAAATAAATTATTTCTCTAGGTGGACAACAAAACAAATGAGAAACACCTTGGAGTTAAATCTGAATTTTACTTCCTCTTAATTATCCGTCTGTATTCTTGTACATTCCAAATACTTCTAAAGTGAAAAGGAAACTAATTGTTTCTTTTCACATTACTGCTATTCCTTTGCAGTTGCAGCAACTGCAGCATTAAGACTGTTCTATTTTGGGACTAGTGTAAGCTGCATTTGTTCGTGTTATTTTGAAGGTGAGCTCTGATTCCCTTTGCTAGCACTGGAGCTGATGGTGTTCAGCATTCCCAGGATTCAACCCTTATTGTTTTTCCCTTTGTGTTCAAAATTGCAGGGAATCTGCTCTCCTTGTTACAAAGCTGGTAAGACTTCACTGGAAGAACCAGATAAATGTTGCTAGATAGAACAAATTACCCTGAGCCTTTTCTTAGTGTAACACTGTTTGATTGAAGGCTAATGTCAATATGAACACCTAACTAATGCTTCTAATTATTTTGTCAGCCCCATTACTCGTGGCATAAATTTGGGGTAGCAGCTTTTTGTAACCATGGCACCCGTGTTTGACACTGCTGGTTGAACCCACCCCAGCTTGACTTGGTAAAAGGTTGCAGCTTTCTGAACAGAGAGACAGCAGTCAGGGTTGCACAGAGCTCCAGAAGAGTCAGTGGATAGAAGAGTCATTTGTTCCCAGGGAACCAGGGCTGAGGGCATGCGGTACAAGGGGTGATTGCTTCAGGGCTGGGGGGATGTTATGAGTTACAGGGAGCTGCGAGATGAGGTGTTGATGTGGGGATAGCCATCTGCAGCGATTCCACTGCTCTAGGTCTAACCCTGAGGAGAGCTTCATGCCTAGGCCTGAGCTTTGTGGAAGAGCACTGTAATCATAACCATCAGTTTTCACTGTGAGGCTGAAATGTGTTTGCAATTCATTGTCTCTTTTTCTGATTAAGTTTGTTTTTGTCTTATTAATAGACTTGGATCGTCTGTCTAATAAACAAACATGAGTCATCTGAAGTTGTTTGCAGCCGTGCTGAAGTGTCATGGCACTAAACTTCTGGAAAAGCAGAATATAGCCAGAAGGGCATTTTTGCATGGCCAACGGTATCTTTCATCAGGAACCTCAGAACCTTTCCTGAGTGGGGGCAATTCAAGTTACGTGGAGGAAATGTACTATGCATGGCTTGAAAACCCTGAAAGCGTTCATAAGGTAAGTCTAAAACTCACCTTCAAATAATAATACTGGTTTAAGAGTGGAATGGCTTTTATGGCTTTACTTTTTAACTTTTTTTTTTTTTTATAAAAAGCTCAGGAAAATGGCTTGCATGAAATGAAAACTGTGAAATTAATTTCCCACATATTGATTGTTGTAAGATGTGATATTGCAACTATAAAGGTACAGAGGAGCCACAGGCATGATGTGCTGAGGGGAAAGAATGAGAAGTCCAGACCAGAAATAGCAAGCTGCTCTGAAACTTTGTTCCTGCATGGAAATGCTCTTCAAGCAGTCTGTTAAGTAACTAGTTTACATCCAGAAGAAGACCCAAGAATAAAATACATATAATTTTTTGGTTTATTTGTAATAAGCTTGTAATCAGAGAGTATGTTATATTTAAATAATGTGTGTTGACATTGGTACTTCCAAGCTGTCTGAAGAAGATGAATGTTTATTTCCCTTTAGGTAACTGTGGAAGTTGAAACCTTAAAACTGAATCTGAAATTGTCAGAAAATTCTTCTGAAGTATCTTGAAAAGTATTTTGTTTTGTCTCTCTCCCTCTCTATCCAGGCAACATACATTTGTTTAATTTTTTTTTTTGAACCTTAAATCTATTGCCCAAATCCTTTCTTGTGGGCAAAATAGATAGACTTATTTTCTAACAAGCTTTCTGCAGTCAAGGAAGGCTCTGTAATGGTGATACATGTGTACTAACTTAAAAAGCTGATGAGAAGTCTGATAAATTTTAAGACAGAAAAGTGATTTTCTAGGGAAGTAATGTGAATTGTGCCTAAAATGTTTACCAAATTGGTTGTCTGTTCCCTTATTTTCGAGGCAGGTATATCAAAATGTCATTTAGAAGTTGTTGTTCTAAGTTTGATAATCTATCTACAGTTTGAGGAAGTGATGCCAACTGAGGGGGGGAGTGAAAACAAAAAAGGAGATGCAAAAAGGCAGTTCTGGGTGGTTTTTTGGATGTCATGTGTGAATTTAGTCCTGTTAAAAGCTGACATATGCAGTGACAATGCTGAAGACTGACTGTCATTCACATAGCAGAGAGATCCTAGGCCTTTTATGTTGTGTCTTAACCTGGAACTGGAGAGACCTTCTCCAGGAGTGGCTCCTTCTCTCATCCCATCTGACGTGAGACCTCGTCCCGTAACTGTCACGTGAAGTTCCAGCCAGTGTGGAATGGAGTAGCACATTGTGGGGCTGCACTGAGCTAATTCCTGAGAAGCCCTCATGATGTGTGGGGGCTGTAGATCCATATCAACCCTTCTGTACTGAGGACACGGAGGGGATGAACTCATGCCTAAGGAGTACGTGGGGTGACATCGCGGTGACATTGTTTTTATTTTATTTACGTTATGTTGGTTCGTGGTGGACTTCTTCCTTTGGGATGAATGAAATTCCTCGTTCAGATCCTTAGCAGTGGAGTGCATTTTGCTGCTGGGAAACCCTGCAAACCTCTCACGGGGTGAGAGTTTCCCTCGGTGAGCACAGCCCAAGTGCCGAGCCCTGCATCAGCCTCGAGCAGGGCAGCAGCGCTGAGCGCGGCTCCCGCCGCCGCCTGGAGCTGGCCAGGGTGCTGAACGGAGGCTCCGCGGAAATTTAGCCCTGCCCGGTATTTTGCTGGTGCTCGGGAGTTGGTGGAAATGCTCTAAGTCCTGCCGAAAGGCGATCCAATTCTTCTGGCGGTTCAGGCACAGTCTGACGATGGATCCTGATGAGGTGATGCACTTTGTAGGTTGAACAGTGATAAACAGTGAATTGACAGAGGAGTGTAATTGTCCTGGTGGAGTAGGGTGTGGCCTAGGGAGTGGATCCCAGGCAATTCAAGATGCATTTTTGTCGTGGTTTAACCCCAGATGGCAGCTAAGCTCCACACAGCTGCTCAGTCACCCCCACCAGCAGGACTGGGAGAGAATCAGAAGGATAAAAGTGGGAAAACACATGGGTTGAGGTAAAGATAGTTTAATAGGGAAAACAAAAGCCATACAGATGAGCAAAGCAAAGCAAGGAATGAATTCGACACTTTCCATGGGCAGGCAGGTGCTGAGCCATCCCCAGGACAGCAGGTTTCCATCATGTGTGTCATGGTGACTTAGGAAGACAAACACTATCACTCTGAACATCCCCCCTTCCTGGTTCTTTCCCCCAGCTTTATTGGCTGAGCACAGTTTGTTATGGTATGGGATATCCTGTGGGTCAGCTGGGGTCAGCTGTCCTGGCTGTGTCCCCTCCCAGCTCCTCGTGCACCCCCAGCTGCTGGGGTGGAGTGAGAAGCAGAAAAGGCCTTGATGCTGTGTAAGTGCTGCTCAGCAGTAACAAAAACATCTCTTGTTTACCAACCCCCTTTTCAAATCCCAAACAGGCCCAAACCAGTTACTGTGCAGAAAATTAACTACCCCAGCCCAAACTGACACAATTATAAAAACGTGTGTATTCTTTTCTAGGTTAACTATATGTAATATACTTACAGCAGTAATGAACCAAAGTAAATTCACTGTGTCCCTGGTTTATGAGGCTTAGAAGAAGAAGGTTGATGGAAATAATGGATTACAGCTATTCTTGCCTAAATAATTAGGTTTTTCTCAGCCTAGAAAAAAAGTGAGGGGGAGAAGAATGTTTCCAATTAATTTTACTTTGTTTCATCAACTTAATTAATTTTTGGTTTCTTGAAATCCATCTGATTTCATCAACTGAAAGCTGTAAGTACCTACCCAAGATTTTTACTGATGGAAGTTGTTCAGTTTGGGCTTTTCAACCCTTACCATTTTTAACCTGCTTTATAAATCCCCCATTTTCTTAAAAATACAGAAAAATTCATGCCATAATTTTATGATTATAGACAAGTTGTGAATTTGTCCTTCTCCTATGGAAAGGGGTGGAAGTGTTGGTAAATAATGTCAAGAGACACCGTGTGGTGTTGGTTATGGTATTGTTAATAATTTGACTCTCTGCAGGCCACTCATATTTCAGTGTTTTATTCAGTATGTCCAGCATAGAGAGCCAGGAAAACTTGATTTCCCCCACCCCCCTTTAAAAATAATACTCTATTCACTTTTACTTAGAAACTCCAGTTAATCAAGGCTCCCCTAATAATTTCCCTCTCAGGAGATTTGACTGGGCATGTTCTTCTTCCCAGGTGTGCTTATTTAAAACTGTTTGAAATATGGCTGTCACATTCCAATGAGCATGTTCCCTGTTTCTAAGAATCTCTCTGTTCTATGTATATCATGGTTGTATTTCAAGGAATCTGCATGTAAATACATAGGAGCTTTTATTCTTTGTGCAAATCCATTCCTGATGATTACCTGCTTTTCCTTGCCTTTTGAATTTCCCATCCTTAGGGTAGCCAAAACAACAATCAGAATAAAATGACGTGGTCTCTGAAAAAGGCATCATTATTTCTCCTTGAAGCTTGGTGTCAGGGCCATAGATCATAAGAGAGAAGCTTGACAAGGCTCAGTTATTACTATCACAAGATTAATTACAAAACTGCATGGCTGGATATGGAGTACATAATGCCTGCCATGTTCTCGTGCATGCAGCCACTCTACTGTGAGTGTGTAATCTCTTCCTTGGCTTATGTGCTAGGAAAAAGTGTGGGGGCTTTGTTTTGTTTTGACTTCATTTTATTTATTTTCTTCTTTAAGTGATGTAGTGATGCTCAGTGTGTGTCTTTTAAGGCTTTACTGTCCTCGCTGCAGTTGATAAATATTGTGATGTCATTAGGAAAAAAACAAACCATCAGGATAATGAATATGTTGCTTGTTATTCTAAGTGCAACACTGTTTATTATATGAGAATAGAATATTGCCACTGAATCACTTGAATGGTGTTATATTACTTGAAAAAATAATGGTTAACTACAATATAGATTTGCTGACAGAAGGAAAAAAAAAAGAATGTATCATCTATCACTATAGTAGGATTATTTTTTTGCAGATGTATTTTTCTGTTATAAGTCTCCTCTACCATTTTCTTGAAGAACTTTATTAATTTAGTTGAGAAGCTGCAGGTTTGCTGTGAGACCATGCTGGTCTTCTGTCTGTTCCGTCACATGGCAAATGCTGTTGCCAAAGACTGACATTGATACACAGGACTTGAAGACTATAATCTGGTATCAATCTTGAAAGACACTGCAGAAATTTGTAAAGGCTTTGATGGATGTGTATCTAGAAAAAACTAATTTTCTGTAGCCAAATGATGTATTTTCCCTCCCCTCTGATTAAATGTCAAGCCTGCCCAACAAATCAATAAGTTCAAAAATGTGATAGGAAAAAATAGTATAGGTTCTTTCTGTCCCAGCTGGCTGCATCTTCAGACGTAAACACGTTCTTTGTATTTGTGAGTTTGCATGAAGAAAGGGTCCTGTGCTTGTTGGGCAAGTCTATTTGGGTTTTGTTTGCAACTCTCTCAGCAGAGCACTTGTCTAAAAACATATTCAGTTGTTGTGGGACTGTGCTGTGATAACTTTTACATCTAAATGAAAAGGCTTTGACTCAACAAAGGAGTCAAATGCTAATGATGAGGTTCTAATCCACAGGTTCAATGAGTCCCCTCCATTTCCATAACTTGAACTTAGAAGGTTGGATGATGTTTAGCTCTTTTGTGCTTCCCCGCTTGTGTTTCTGAACACCCCAAATCTTGCAGAAATTTCAACGTGAAGATCTTTTGTTAATGAAAACATGATTTTATAAATATTTGTCTGTTATGCCATGTTTGAACTACATTATTTTGATTCTGTTGTGCGTTCTGCAATGAGTATATTAAGTAATCTTTTTAAAATAAACTCCCTGGGCTACTTTGTGTCTTTTCTGGCACTTGGTTCCTTGAAATGTGTTAGTTTGAAGTTCACAGCCGGGGCAAATAACGTGCACTGCACAAAATTAAATTTATGCCAGTTCTTCTATTCCAGTTGCAAAGATTTTAGAGTTTTGAAATGAAAACTTCTGAAATTAAAACTTTTTTTTCCGAAGTTAGCCAGCTGAGGGAAGTGTTTTATGACCTTTCATGAACTTGTATAGCAACTGTATGCTGGGTACAAGTATTGCTTAGTTGCCTGCTGCTGCAGACTTCCTTCTTTGTTGAGTATAAGCATCTCAGATGTTTTATCCCACATCTCTGTTATTCATATATATATATAACATACCATTCTAAACTGGACCAGTGACCACCTCATTAGAATGGAAGCAATTCAGGAAAACAAGATCTGGGCATATGTGAGTGAAGTAGCTTATGTAGGATCTTTTGCTTCTCATGATTCAGATTCTGAAATAAGTACCCTTCTGAAGTTATGACTTGGACCTGGAACAAGGTCCATAATTTCTTTCATAGTGAGGTGACCTAAGCTGGTGAGGAGGGGGTCTTAGAACAAAAGCCTCACTCAAAAAGACTTTATTGCTTTTCTTCAAGAAAGACCCTTAAGGACTGATTCTGATATAGCGTGTTCAGTTATGAATTAGAGAATTCATAGATTCTATAAGTATCATTAAAGGAATGGATTCATTTCATTTATTAAGGTTCTTTGTTTTGTAGTCTTGATAGCTCTTTACCAGCCACATAATATTATACCCATTCCTGGTTGCCTGAATAAATAGCACAGTTATAAAGAGATGTGTGAATGGATAACGTATGAAGATGTTTTGCACTCGTATGTGCTGGAGAGTTTTCCACTGAGCAAGCTCAGTGGAAAAAAGGGGAGGAAAAGAGCTCTATATAAATAACACACACAGTTGCTACCAAGATTTGGACATGTCAGTGCTCTCTTTTTGCTGATAATTCGTGGTACTTAGCACTGTAATGTGGTAGCTTTAGCACCTTGAAGGACCTGCTTTTGGTTGAGACTTGTGTTTGAGGTAACCAATTTTCCTTCTTCCTCTCTGTACACATGTCCAGTCCTGGGATTTGTTTTTCCGAAATGCTAATGTTGGCCAAGCACATGATGCCCATCTGCCAGAGCAGCTGGAAAGAAAAGCATCATTTCTTCAGAGCCATGGCCTGGCCCAGACACCGGGTAAAGCTGAAAAGCTTGTTGAAGATCACCTTGCTGTGCAGTCTTTGATAAGAGCATACCAAGTAAGTGTACTTTGGGGGGAGGTGTGGGAGGGCCTCTCCTTTGCAAACAATGTTTTTCTTCCTTTTCATGTTCTTGTTTGTCTTCTGGGCCTAACTACTGTCCTTCTTCTGATCCAGAATATCTTGAACTAGACAGCTTTTTATTTCCTGCACAGTGTCTAAATGCGGACGTGTTGGATTCAGACTGGGGTGACCCTCTGGTTTAGCAAACTCATTATCCTTGTTACCTGCAGACCTGTTGTTGGTCATCTGATTTAGCCTGGAAGCACTTTATGGAGATAGCGGTTTGTGAAAGGGAACACGAATCTCTTGGGGTTTGTCCCTTTACCAGGAGCAGGAGCCAAACAAGTCAAAGCTTAACCTTTGCTATTCTTACTGCTCCCTGGACTGTATTAAGATTTTCTGTGTGTGTATCTCTGATTCAGGAAGTTGCCTGACCAAACTGGAAAGCCACATTACCTGAAATAACTGTGCTTCATGTGAAGGGAGTTTTCCTGTGTGTACTGGTACCAGTGAATCTCTGGATGTGTGCAGTGACATAAGGACGCTCCTCTCTCTTCAGCAAACTTTTCCATGATCCAAGTCTTCACCTCTGGGGAAGCTTGTATCACAGCTCTAAATGTTACTTTTTGTAAGAAAGGAGGAAATGTATTGCCTTCTCTTACATTTAGGGTGAAGTTTGAGATTCCTGATTTGAGCAGGATTATAGGTAAAAAGAGAAGGAGAAATGATGAATTAACCAGAAGCTGAATTTTGGAAGGCTGGCAGAGTTTGGGTCAGCTTTGATGGATTTATTTTAGAGAGCTGTTCATCAAAGCTGACTTTGTTTCACACTCAAATCTTTAACCCTTTTATTAATTAAAGAAATTAAGTCTAATATCATTATTTTTCCTCTAAATGAAGAAGGATTTTGGAAACAGGACAGTGGTTTTGCTTACATGTTTTCTAGATGTAAAACAAGTTTAAATATTTTTATTTAGACTTGTATTTAGTATTTTAATTTCAATAAAAGACTTAAAAACAATGTAAAACAAAACAAAGAAACCCAACCCCAAAAACCAGATCTGTGTTGAGCAAAATATTTATATTTGATTTTTATTTTTTAAGAGTGTAACTTTCCAAGACCTTTTCTACAGTTTGACTTGAGCAGATCTGTTCTACCCTGCCTTAAGAATTTTAACTCCTGTTTGATGTCATCAGAGAATAGAAGAGGATCTTGTTGAAAGCCTTTTTTTGTACACATCTCATTGTCACCTTTGAGTTGGAAATGTGTTGTAAAAGAGTATAAACGTTTGTGAACATAAAGAATATATGGAATTTGCTTAGAAATAGGTGTATAGAAAGCAACCACTTTTACTTGCAGTAAAAAATTAGTGAAGAATTAGAGAAAATTGGAAAATGTGTGGCTGCTTTGACATGATGTACTTGAAAATAGTTCAGGGATTGCCATTTTGTTCCCTGTATTTGAGAGAGTGTGCTGTCCAAGTCAAGAGATGGAACAGAAATGTCTGTGTAAATGGCAGGCACCTATGTGTCTGCAGCAAACAATCAAAGAGGATTGCCTAAGGCAACTGTCTGCTTTTTAAAAGGTATTTAATACCCTCTCAATTCAGTGTTGAAGGGGTTTGATAATTTGTGACCTTCCTTTGCCTGATAATGAAGTGAAATGGAGAAAGATACAGGATTTTCATTTCTCAAGCCTGTCAGTGTTTTATGGTTTTTGTGGCAAACTGCTTCGTGGTCTGCTGAGCTGGACTTCTGAGAAGGCAGATAATCTATTGCTTTTTCTAATGTAGAGCACTGGACACACTGAAACAAGGATTTCCAGAGAAGTGTGTGCACTTAACAAAGCGTATCTGAAAAAATGGATTTCTTGAGCCTGCTTTTATTTTGGGGTGGGTTTTTTTTGTTTTGGTTTGGTTTTTATTGTTTGTTTGCCTTCTTTTATTTTCTTTGCATTTTAAGGTCTGGTTTCAGGTAGTCTTTACTTTCATTTAGTTGAAGTTATGGCAGTCGATGAAAATTCTTTATGCATGTATTTTCACAAGGCTGATTTCCGATTTTTGCAGATGTTTCCATTTGCTGTATCCAGTGAAAGTAGTAGCAGTTATTAAGAATAGCTTGATATTGAGGAAAATACTGTCATTTAGTTCAAGACCAGTCTGCTCCTGGAGTATAATATGGCACATCACTTTACTGATTTGCTTTTCTTGGTTTTGGCATTTTTGCTGGTCTTATTCCTCTTTCTATTAATACTACAGAGCAGATGTACTTAAGGAGGCGAATTCTTTCCCGTTGATGATGCTTGAGACAGAATTGTTTGCTTAGTTCCAGTCAGATAGACTTAGTGCTGCTGTAAACAGTCAGATGGCACAGATGATGCCGTGGGCATCATTTGGCCTGTCAGAGTTTTATTACTGGTGATTCATGAGATGCAAAGAATTGCAGAAGTCGGGCTGAATTTACAGGGCTGGTGGTTCTAAAAAAGGTGCTGCATTTCTGGTTTTCAATGACTGGAAACCATTTTGTTATGAACTCTCCTGCAAATATAGAATACTTGGATCAGTCATACTCTATTACTGTGTAATGCACTTCACTATTAATAATACAGTTTGTGATTTCTTTTTTTTAAGGGCCAATTAGGATACTAATAGTGTGAATGTAATTCTACTTAAGTAATCCTAATTCGTCATTAAAAAGAAAAAATTTAAGGAGAAAATATTCATGTATTCATCTGTACAAAGCTTTTAATGAGTTAATTTGGCATATGAGAGTCACACATAAGAGACCTCTTAAAAATTGTTTTGTATTTGTGGCTCAGCTGTGGATCAGTTAGTTATTTTTCTGCAGCAATGTTATGTGATAATGTAAGGCACGAGTTTATAGCAACTTGTGGCATACATTGACACCAGTTATGCTGATAACTGAAAGCTGGCTAAATTCCCCACTCAGTTTGTGTTCTTTTGTGTCTTGAATGTCAGTTTTATTACAGATCAAATTTCCAAAATTTCACAATTGAAAGTGGATGCTATCAGATGCTGTCTGATGAAGAGCAGAGTTTAGGAAGAGCAATTCTTTCACTACCAACATAAACTACTTCAGCACCAATCAGTGTTCTAGGTCAGCAGTGCTGTAATTTAGGTTCAGAAAGGAAGATTCAGGGAGAAATATAAAATGACTGAATTGGCAAATGGTAAGATCTGTAGACTAGTAATAGTTTCTTAATTTTACTCAGAGATTGAGAGTAATCTTTAGAAGCTTTCTTGACTTAAACTTCAGCGTAATCCCAGTTGACTTGTGTGTCAGACAAAACAAATGTTATGTTCTAATGTGTATTCATTAATTTTTAATACAGGTAGTATATGTAGCCAGTGATATAATGCTTATTTTTTGTTCTTATGGGAAAATTTGGGAAATATGTGACCCTCTCATCACATTAGTGGTGTTTGCTCATTTGACTTAATGGCTGAGATATATACTGTGGAGAGATATCAGTGAATTTTTCCCTTTCTCTGACTTTTGTTAGCGTGATTTCATTTTTCTCTTACTTTCCTCCATTTTCAGATCCGTGGTCATCACGTGGCTCAGCTAGATCCCCTTGGAATTCTGGATGCAGACCTGGATTCGTTTATTCCATCTGACCTAATTACTACAATCGATAAGCTCGGTGTGTATGTCTGGCTGCCTTCTTATTTGCAGTGGTCATTTTGCTCGTGTGTCTCATTGGGCTGAGGTGATTGAATAAGACATTTCACAGAATCATAGAAAGGATTGGGTTGGAAGGGGCCTTAAAGCTCATCTAGTTCCAACCCCACTCCATGGGCAGGGATGCCACATTTCAAGGAACCTTCTACCTTTTCTGCTTGCTGGTATCACGAAATGGTGCCTTTGAGTATCTGTAAGGGGGCTAAAATTTCAGGACGATGGAATTTCTACTCTTAAGATCACAGGTGAGGTTCCTGTGAATTCATCCCCTGATGAGTGATGAGTATAAGCACTCTATAAAACCCCTAAATCTTATATTTTTGAACCACAGCAGAAATGAATGCTAATCAGTACATTAGGCCAACACTCTGGTAATCTAAATTACTCTTCCACCATTATGTTTGATAGATGCTTGAACTGGGGACGTCTGAAGGCTAGTCAATAGGGAAAACAAGCAATAAATAAAACACTGGACAGAGGGACTTAGGGAAAATTTCATACCAGATTTGGATTCTAGTGTCTGATACTTATTCCTTCTGTATATCTTGAAGAAGTCTGTTTGAAGTTATCAGAAGAAAAGATGGAAAGCGTAGAATTCTTTGCTTGTGGGTACAATCCAATGGTGATCACTTCAGTTTACTGCTGGAAGAGTGTAGTGTACAAGGGTCTGCCTTTGCAAAGGTGGTTCTGGTCGCTCGGAGGGCACATCTCAGAAATTGCACTGATCAATTTCTTTGCCTCTCTCTGCTTGAATAAAAAAGCACCTCATTGATTTTTCTCTGCTCTTCAATCTACCTGGTTTGTTTAAAATGTGGTTTTCTACTTGATGAAGACACTGAATCAATTTTTCTTTGATGTGTTGGGAAGCTTTTCAGGCCAGACATAAAACATAGTGCAAGCAGTAGATAAAGCACATTCTGCTTAATTTTACTGTAAGCTCATCTACTGCCTCGTTGCTGCTGTGCTTTCTATTTCTGGTGGTGGGGAAAGAAGCAGTTCTGATCATATAAAGGCAGTAGAGTGCCTACGACTGTAAACTGAGAGGTGCTTACACAAATTGGGTGTTCTCTCTGGAGTTTGTCAGTTTTAATTAAAGGAAAGTACCTACTAGAAAATACATTAGACATTTACTGAGTGAATATAGTTTGGAGCATGGGGCAGAGCCAGCATGTCAGTGCACATTTCTTTAGACTCTAAAGATAGGTTAGTACAGAGTGCTGTGACTGGTCAGAAGGCATCATACTGAAGCCCTTGTGCCCATAGGAAAAATATGTGAGATCTTTGAATAAGATGTCTCTGAGAGAGTAACTGAAGTGATTTCAGTTTTTAAGGGCAAACCAAATTTCAACCCTAGTCTTGGCACAGGAAAAAAGAGGAGGGTCTCAAATGTTGCCTATCCTTGAATGTTCCATGCAGGAAACTTATGAAAGGTCTCTACCAGTGAAGAAGGTATTTTAGTGTTTGACTTTTTTTCCTGTGCATTTTCTTTGCCCTATCTTCTGGTTTTGTTTTGACAAACCTCGTGGTAAGAAGTTTCTTCTGAGAGTTGCTTCTCAAAATGCAGGTAGTCACAGATGTACCTACTGCCTGATTTGAGTTATGGAATTGCTTCCAGGATTTCAGTAAGGTTGTATCTCTTTAAACATGAGGTGATGCTTCAGTAAATATGTGGTGCTGCAGTACAAAGCACAGATGTTCTGTGTGTGCCCAGATCACTCCTGTACGTGTTCTGGTTTACGCACGATAGAACATGAAGAGCCTGGGAAGTCTGAGGGAAAGTCAGCAAAGAAAACAAACACACTACCAGTTAGCACTGCTTTGTTTCAAATGACACTAAAGCCCCTGTCATTCCCTGTGTCCCTCTCACCCTCCTGCTGGGACAACACCTCTTACAGATACCAAAAAGGAGAAGTAGTGAGACCTACCCTTTTCTTTTGGTCACTCCAGGTTTGCAATTTTAATATGTTATTAAAATTGTTACTAAAACCAAAATGAACATTTTAAAATACGTTATTTTTAAAGCACAATGTATTATTTACTGACAGTGCTGTATAGTAAAAGTGGTGGCAATGCAGTCCTATGGCCTGACTTCAACTCTAATTGCTAAGTTATGTTATTATTTCATCTTTAAATTGCTGCTTCATTTTCATCTTCAGAAAAGTCACTTAGTAGGGAATAGGGAGCACTATTCTTTATTGATTTAAGAGTCGTGTGCAGGCTGTCTTATCAGTGTTAAAGTGCATGTCTGCAGCTTATCTGCAACCAAGATAAAGAGTTCAAAGTTAAAAAGAAGCTGGTTTTAATTTTTAAAATATTTTCACACATGCACACACTTAACCTTTGAGATAGCTCAGCTGGTTGGAGCGCAGTGCTAAGGTTGCAGGTTCAATCCCTGTACAGGCCATTCACTTAAGAGTTGGACTTGATGATCCTTGTGAGTCCCTTCCAACTCAGAATATTCTGTGACGTTCTGTGAAATACATAATTTTAATGTATATATAACTTTCTATAACTGTATGTAATTTGTATTTTAAGTGTTATACATTTGCTCCTTACAATTGTAACAAGCTGTTTTTCCTTTCTTCATTTAACCGGTATTTTAGTCTTGTCTGTTGTGTATTTTAGTTTTTGAAACTGCCTAATTGTTAAGTGAAGTATTTTCTTAAATAATATTCTCAAACCAGAAGAAGTTTAGGTATGTCAAAATGAAGATGGGACAATATGCTTAAACACCTGCTTTCCTTGTTTTCATTGGTGGGGGTGTGGAAATCTTTGTGTGCAGCTCATTACGTGACTATTTCAAACTACCCTAAAAAGAGAAAGAGGGTGAATAGAAATACCTTGGAATTTCCACCAGAGTGTTTGTACAGCATTACATTGAGCACGTTGTGTATTTTCTCTTAGTGTCTCTATTAATGTAGTATGCTTCCAGCCAGCTGGTTCTCTCTGTCAGGAGGGATTCTTTTTGTGTTTGTTATAAATCCCAGTCATTACAGTTAGTTGTTAATTTTAAAATCCAGACTAAAGTGCATTTTAGTAATGGATACCTTCAAAATATTCACATTTTCAATTTTTGTTCTGGTACTTTCTTTCTTAATATTGTTTTATTAAACATAATTGCCATGGTTTAAAAAACAATGCCGTTTTCTTTTTTTGTCTCCTACCCTGCTCTGCAAATCAATGATGTACCTGTTGTAGGATTTTATGGTCTGCATGAATCAGATTTGGACAAAGTCTTTCAGCTGCCAACAACCACCTTCATAGGAGGAAATGAGAACAGTCTTTCTTTACGAGAGATCATCAAACGCCTGGAGGTCAGTGGGACATTTTTGAATTTGGGATTGTTTTCATCCAGACCGAAGTGAACTCCTTCCAGTTGTCAGTCACAAAAAACCTTATAATTTGTCAGTTATTAATACAGCATGTATAGAATTCAGATGACACAAAAAATAACCTTTGTGCTGTTTCTAGAGGTAGGAGCACCTTTGGGTTCATTACCAGGATATCTGGAATACACAGATTAAGGATGAGTATAAAAGAGGTGAATAAGGTAGAATACTAATTTGAGCCCTCGCTCTGTCAAGAACTGATACTGCTTTAAAGGAGTAGAGCCTTTGGAAATTGTCTTTTAAGTGTCAGACCACAGGTGAAACAGCTCTGCCCTCAGATCCCCAACTTCAGTGAGATTTTTACTTGACATAAAATGTGAAGGCTGGGTACCAAATTCATGAAAGCCCAGCTGCAGCTTATGGACAGTGATTTCCTTGTTTTCCATCCCCAATCATTTTTGTAGAGTTTCATTGTCTGACAGGTGATGAGGTTTATGCCACAGGAAGTCATCAAAGCTGAAATAATTTAAAGCAAAACTAATTTGAAGGAATCAGTATCATTAGAGGAGAACTCCAAATAGCAAAAAGGCAAGCAGGAATGGTAATAAATTTGCAGACTGCTGAGTGACTTGGTGCTGGATATCCTCAGTTGTTTGACTTTTACACTGGCTTAGCTGAAGTTTGGTAAATTGTTCACATATTATCTCTGTTGTGCATTTGAACTCTATATTTGGGGTTTTTCTTGTCTTTGTACTTCTAGCTTATCTGTGTAGCAATTTTCAAGAGATAGTCTTTAAAATTGCAATGTGCAAATAAATAGACAAAATCAATAGCAAAATCTAAAAGCCTCAAGGAGCTGATTTGTGTTAAGGAGAGAGAACTCTCTGGTTTCCTCGTCTCTCTAGAGCTCTGGATTTTTTTTTTTTTTAATTGAAGTTAACATTCAATTCCTTTTTAGAGACTGCCTGTATGAGTGATTTTGAACCTCTCTGTTTAGAGCGGTTTTGTCTCAAACTCACACTAGGTTTTACTTCTGTTGACTTTTATTTTGGAAACAATTTTTCTGATGAAATAGTCTTTATAGGGTAAGAAAAAGAAAATTTAAAAAATGAACAAGGAGATACAATTTCGTTTTGTCTTTGCATTTCTCCCTGCCCTTTCTCTGCTCTCAGCTGCTTGGGTTCTTTTTCAGATTTCCAGGTATCTGATAACTTGGCAGTTATCAGATAATTTGCATGAGACTTCAAACCTGCCTTCTCACTGTCTTTATTTCTTGATTTCAGGTGACATTTAAAAAAGACAGGGTAAATTTTGGTAAATTACTGGAAATCTTTGCTGGTGCATCTAAAGAAAAGACTGTACTATGACTGTAAGAACAGTACTGAGTTAGGTGAAACGTGCCAGTTAAGGTGGGTTTATTGGCCTGCTTTAAATATATCACCAAATGAGAATCTTCCAGTTTCGAAATTTTGTTACTTTGTAGAGAAAGCTTTGAGGCACAAAACTAGATTCAGTAAAATAATTTATTCACCTTTAGAATTACTGTGGGGAAGAGGAAGATGACAGTATAGCTTTCGGAAGAGTAACAGAGAACATAAATTACAAAATGTATTTGTTTCTTCATGGCCCATTAGCTCCTAAAGCTTCTCTGTTGGTGTTTTCATTTCCTAGAATACCTACTGCCAGCACATTGGCTTGGAGTTCATGTTCATCAATGATGTGGAGCAGTGCCAGTGGATCCGGCAGAAGTTTGAGACGCCGGGAATTATGAAGTTTACTAATGAGGAAAAAAGGACTTTGTTGGCCAGGCTGGTGCGCTCAATGAGGTACTGGGGAGGTGCTGGGAAACTGCTCTGTGGCTGCTGGGTGGGAACTGATGCCATCTGTAAACTGCTGAGGTGAATAGACTCAGTGAAATCTGGAGCCCAGGTGGGTGCAGTTAATCTGGCTTGCAATATCAAAGGAAAGTGTGTGCTGTGAGGTGTGTCAGGGTCTGTGTTGTGACTTTTAGTATTCCATTATCTTAAAAGGCAGGTTGTGTTCTTGTCCAGCCCTTAGTGGCGTATCTGGCAACGTTTTCATTGGCTTGAGGAAGTAAAATGGGAAAAAGTAGTTTCAACAGACAAGTAATATTGATCTGTGGTAAAGATTTGTATCCTGTTTCAGAAAATAGGTGTCAGAACAATGTTGGAATGTTATTTCAAGTCCTGTTTCTGCCCTTCTCCTTTTGGGATGTGCCCAGATGTGCAGCACTGTTGCCTGACCTGGCAGCAGCAGTTTTAGTCTCTGCAGTGTGAGAAAGCACATATGAAACAGCTTATTGATTGCTTCCATTGTGGGTATTTGTGTGGAAATACTGTGATCCCAGAGACTGAATTATCCTCTTATCCTTAGAACAAGACTTTTCAGGCACAGGATTCATTCCAGTTTTTACAATCTGAAACAGTTTGCATGTCCTTTGATAAAAGCAAGTGCCAGAGATTTATAAAGGCGCATTTTTTTTGTTAAGCTTCCATGTTCAAAGACATAAAAGTGAAGTGCTCATTGGAGGTGTCAAAAGATATTTTTTCCAGGTGTTTTGTTAGCCAATATTATAGCAAGATGGTATGTTTGATTAAAAGGTTCATTTAAACAGAAATAAAAATGTAGCTTAATGGTCAAGTGAATTGAGTCACTTGAGTAAGTTTGTTTGTTGTGTTAACAGGTGCTCAGTATGAACCACCTGTATTTATCTTAAGACAAGAATTTGTGCTTTTATTCCTGCCTAAACTGTGGAAAGATCTGGGGTTTCTAGTAGGATGAAGGAGCCGAATGTTTATCTTCTGCCAATTTAATTCTCTCCTGAAAGTGGAAGAAAAATAGTTTCACAAAAATTTCTATCCTGCTTTCTCCAGTGCACTTTTTATTCTGTGGTTCTGAAATGATAGAGGAAAAAAAATCTGTTTTTGTAGAAACCTGGTTGTGCTCTTGGTATTTGTGGCTTTTGGAAGGTTTTAATTGTTTTGCTCCAGAATACTGTTTTCAAAAATGTTCATTCCAAGTACTGCAGAGTTCAGGTACTTGAAATTGAATGTTAAAGTTAGATTTCTCACCCTATGTGGTTTTTATTGATAGGTTATTGTACAAGGCTCATTTTTAACTCCTCCTTCTGTAAAATACTCCTTGTACATTTGGAGCTACTTTGTCTGAACATTAGACCCTGACGTGGAGTCTGATCTGAGTAGGGTCAAACATTTCCAGATTATCCCTTTTATGAGATGTGTTCCTCGCTGGTACAGAATGCATGCAGTGACAGTGGATGGGCTACCAGCCTTTGTGCACTCATAGTGACATGTGGGGGATTTGCCAAATGTGGCTGTGAAATACTGTAGTTCTGCACACTTAGTGGCAATTTACCTCAAATAATGAACTTGCTGCTTGTCCAGCACTGGCTTAACTTGGAGCTGCAAAGAGGAGGAAAACAGCATGTACGCTGCTTTGATTTGTCCTGTAGGACTTGCTGTTCCCACGGGACCCCAATTCCAGTTTCCCAGCAAAGCCCCACAGACTTCCCTGAGGAATTCTGGCAGAATACCTCAGATGAGGGTCTGGCTTGTAGCTTGGTTGGCTGAATCATAAGGGTATTGATGGGTGAATAAGGAGAGTCTTTTGGCAACAACTCATTTCACTGCCTTCAGGATTTCAGTCTAAAGAGGTGAATGTCAGCACTGTAAGTGAGGAATAAGTTGAGTATTAATGGATTATGGCAGTGTTATGAGTCGAGGCATTGCCCAGATGATGTAACCAATACAGTTACTTTGATGAAGATGTATTTTCTTTGCCTTTTGTATCTCCAAGCTTTACAACATACAATCCTTTCAACATTTGTTAAAAGGTACTTTTTAACCACTCACGTTGCCTCTGGCCCAAATGCATTAAAGAATGAAAGAACACAGAGCTGTCAGGGATTGACATCATTCCGCTGCTGAAGCTGAGGCGGAGATACCAGTGTCCTAGCTCTTGGCAAGTTCCCAAGCGTTACATCACACATTCTGAGGAGCCCTGCCATTGGATGGGACCTATGGAATAGGCATGCTTTCTACTCTGGTTTTTTACAAGTGTTTAATACAGGTTCTCTGCTATGTTTTCCTCAATCCACAGTAGAGACTTCTTTGCTGTCGCTCTGCCTTCCCAGTGGTCAGTATTTGTGTACATGAGAGCAGAGTTTAACTTGGGAAGTGAATTTGGTCTGAGACGGAGACTCCTAATTGTTTCAAAGTTCTAGTAAATACTTCTCAGATGGAAGAGAAAGAAGACTTAATTCTTTCCTATATCTTCCTCCCTATGTGTGACTTTATTCCAGAGGCCTAAAAACCTGTATTCACAATGTTTTAAAACAGTGTGATTTTATTTGCTAAAAGATGTTTGACACTATCTGCTACATTATCTTAACACAAACACTCTCTTTTTGTGTGTGTGTGTTTCTTTTTGGCAAAGATTTGAAGACTTCCTTGCTCGCAAGTGGTCTTCCGAGAAGAGATTTGGTTTGGAAGGATGTGAAGTAATGATACCTGCACTTAAGACCATCATTGATAAATCCAGTGAAATGGGAATTGAATATGTTATAATGGGGATGCCTCATAGGTAATGTCAATGGAAACACCCTAACAAATGGGCTTATTGTATTAAGTTTTGGGTTCTAGAATTTTATTAACGAAGTTGATATTAAAAAACCTGAGTTAGCAAGAGTAAAGCCATGATGTTGCCTAGAGTCTGGAAGCTTGGTGAATAATATTGAACTCACCTTTGCAGTCTGCCTTAACTAATTATTAGTGTGGTTATATAAAGACTGCTAGATAACTACAATATTCACTTGGATAGCTAGGTATGAAACATCTGAGGGAACCCATCGGAGGGACTTTGCAATAGGAAGAAGAGTTGAATCAAAGGTTTCAGGTTCAAAAGTTTGAAGTGAACTTTTGCAAATTTCTGATAGGGTGGTTTGCAGATTTTTTAAGTTTTATACTGTTGACTCTGTTACTGCCATTTTTGAGACAGAACTGTGTCTGGAATTTTCTTAGAGGTCGGCTGAATGTATTGGCTAATGTAATCCGAAAAGAGCTGGAGCAGATCTTCTGTCAGTTTGATCCCAAACTGGAAGCAGCTGATGAGGTAAGATGCTTTTTCAAGAGATCTGTATAGAGAGATCAACATTCAAAGTAGTTTTTAGTTGTTTTGGTCATGGTTATTATGCAAGTAACATTATCAGCTGCTGAAATGCATTGCCTTCTTTTCTAGTTTGAGGAACATGATTTGGTGAAATTTCTTAATGAATGTAAAGATTATGTTGTACCTTTAACATGTAGAAGATATCTCAGGAATGACTGTAGATGAGTAAGAGTTTGACTGAGTTCATAATCTCTAAGCATCTTTCTTTGTTTTATATAAATGGAATGGGTATCAATATTCTGTAAGCATTTACCCAACATTGGATGGCAACAGTAAGGTAATAGAATAGGAGCAGTGTTCCTATTTGAAATTATTTTGTCAAACCCACAGTGCATACTGATGTGCAATTAACTAGATGCATTTTTCAGGCTGAGGCACAAATTTTAGGCATGGTGAATCAGATGCAGCAGGTATGAATGACATTCCTGAATCGTGATTGCATCTTGCATGTTAGGGATCTGGAGATGTAAAATATCATCTGGGAATGTACCATGAGAGGATCAACCGAGCAACAAACAAGAAAATCACTCTGTCCCTGATGGCTAACCCTTCTCACTTGGAAGCAGTTGATCCTGTTGTGCAGGGGAAAACAAAAGCTGAGCAGTTTTATCGAGGGGATACAGCAGGGAAAAAGGTAAAGATTGTTTACTATAGTAAATGTAATGGTAGTTTCTCATAGTATTTTTAATAAAAATAATTTACCAGTAGTTTCATATCACAGGATCTCCCTTTTTTCCTTTCCACAAAAGGGAAATATCACCTGTTGAACTAGATAAGATTTCTGACAGTACCTGAAGGGTAACTGGAGGAAGTAGGCTTAAAGCTTTCTTTTGTTTGCAAACTGAACAAAGGCAACAGAATACTGAGAAATTTATGGTGTATTATAAAAATACTGTTCTATTTAATAAGCACTACAGAAATATGGAGAAAGAAATCCTGCTGAGAAACTTAAATCGCAGTTTTGGTTCCTAATATAGGTGTGGATGTGTGTGTCTAATTCTCTCTCTCAGGTTATGTCCATACTATTACATGGGGATGCTGCCTTTGCAGGACAAGGAGTGGTTTATGAGACGTTTCATCTTAGTGACCTCCCGTCCTACACCACAAATGGCACCATTCACGTTGTGGTCAACAACCAGGTAACAAAGAGAGAGTTTTCCAATCAACCTATCTGCTGAATAGTTGCTCTCCTATTTCTTTTTGTTCTTGATTGTTATTAGCTGAGGGCATTGTCCCCTCTGCTTATTAAAATGGTTGGGATGTTTCTGAAAATGATCACAGTATCTAGAAACTCTGCGTGGATAATATTTTATCACCTACATTTATTTAATTCAATTTGTAATACTTCATTGGATTTGGTTTGTTTTTAAGGGAGCAAAAAGAAGCTAGCTAGCCAAACTGAAAAGCTGATATAACTGCTGTGTAAATGACTATTAAATGCAAACCTCAAGAATTCAAACCAGAGTAGAAGGAGGTGTCCAAATTATTCCAATAGAAGTTTCTGTCATTCTTAGATTGGCTTCACCACAGACCCCCGTATGGCCCGTTCATCTCCATATCCTACTGATGTTGCTCGTGTGGTCAATGCTCCCATTTTTCACGTGAACGCTGATGACCCTGAAGCAGTGATGTATGTGTGCAATGTGGCTGCAGAATGGCGAAACACATTCAATAAAGATGTGGTGGTTGACTTGGTAAGTCTTTATTTTCTTAACTTTTCATTCTGTGCATTATGTATTACTCTCTTATTTTTCTGTGGCTTAGAAAAGAAACATTTGATTTTAAAGGCCTTCAGCATCCTAATTTTAAAAAGGCAAATGAGTAACAGGCCCACAAGAAGCCGTAAGTGTTTTTTATACCATAAACCTCTTAAAACTATCTGTAAAACTATGAAATGGAAGGACTTCATTTTACATTTTGCCTTAACAACAGAGACAATCTTTCCCTTCGCAGGTTTGTTACCGTAGGAGAGGGCACAATGAAATGGATGAGCCCATGTTCACCCAGCCTCTAATGTACAAGCAGATCCATAAGCAGGTGCCAGTGCTGAAGAAATATGCGGACAAGCTGATTGCAGATGGGACTGTGACACTGCAGGAGTTTGAGGTACACATCAACAGAGTTGAAGGGAGCCTAAGGAGCTGTTCAGTAGAAAGACACAACTTTCACTGTATGCTGTCTGCTTGAAAACCTTCCTTTCATTACTGTGATAAGTCTTCACCCTTTGACAATTTGTGTTTCAGTTTGGTTTGGATTTTCATGTAAAACGAAAGGCCTGAAAGTACTGTGAAGTAATTAATACATATTGCAAAGGAAAAAAAATCGCTTTGATTTTGAGATTTGTAAAAGGTGACCAGATAAAAATGTTGGAAAATAGAGGCATTTATCAACTGTTCTTCATCCTGAGACTCTTGATTCAGCAGCAAGACACCCAGAGATATAATTGTATCTTCATACTGATAACCTTGGCAGGCTTGTGTCCAGCAATAATGCAATAGAATCATTTTCTGTAGGTGGATTCTGTTACCTGCAGGAATGATCACAGCTCATGCAGAAGTAGCTTTCCTGAATCGTTGTACAAGTGTGCCAGTAGTGCCATGGGCTTTGGTGACTGGATCCAGGATCCTGGATGGATGTTTTGCTGTACAGACTGAACTCAGCATTGTTATTAATACCTTTAAAGATTAGCTGGCTCAGTAACTTGAGAGTGATTTTGGAATTGAAACATGGATATTGCAGAGGCATTCTGCCTCTACAGAATATGGCATTGTATCTGTTGCCTTAACAGGTGTGGCTAACAGATTTTTAACAAGACTCTCACAGAAGGGTTAGTTTTCTAAGAAGTTCTTTTCCAGTATTTAGTAGCTTCTGTGGCCAGGAGTATGAGAGCTGGATGGTTCTGATCTTCGAAGTATAACTGTACCTTATATTTGTTCTGTCTCATTCTAGAGTAATGCTTGCAGCTTCAGCTCTTGGTACACTCCTCTGTAACACCTGTCCAGTGAACTAAATAATTTATTTAGAGAATGTGTTATCCTGCTGAATGATAGGGGTCACTCTAAGATACAACAGTGTTATGTTTTTCCATTTTAAAAAAGATTTTTGTTCTACAGGAAGAAATTGCGAAGTATGATAGAATATGTGAAGAAGCATATGCTAGATCTAAGGATAATAAGATTCTACATATTAAGCACTGGCTTGATTCACCTTGGCCTGGTAAGAAGTGTCCTTTCACTTATCCTGGTGTTATCTGAGTGTACATTTAGTTTGAGTCTATAATCCAGGATATAAATAGATTTTACCAGATAGTGTTGCCTTAAAATGGAATTATGTGACCTTTGATTTGCCCCTGCTAAGGGTAAATGTAGCATTCTTCCAGATCAACTTGAAATAAATGTTTTTCTTAAAAGAACATGTAAAGTAAGGTGTGACTTTGAAAAAGATGTCTTCCCACTTCAGCAGAGAAGTGGCTTTCCTGTACTGTTAACTGTTTCTACTGTCAGGAAGAAGGACTGTGTCTCATGCTCTTTTTGTTTTTTTATTTTTCTATGAGGGATTGAGGTGTCATTTGCCTTTTATTGGCTGCCTCTGCCCACATAGTTAGACTTCACAGGGAGTGAAAACAGAAACAAAACCAGATCATTGTGTGCCTGTAAGATCAAGTTCTGTTGTCATGCAGACAATCAAAATGACTGTGTTTCCCAGCAAAAGGTGAAGAACTGGGTTTAGTCTGCTGCTTAGAGTGTCACTTAAGAGTTGTGACTTTTTAAGTAAATTGTAGATGCTGTAGATATCTCTTAAACGGTCCTCGAACATTCACCAAACCTTTTACTTCCAGGATTCTTTAACGTGGATGGAGAACCCAAGAGCATGTCTTGTCCTCCCACGGGCATTTCAGAAGACCTGCTGACTCATATTGGCAACGTAGCTAGTTCAGTGCCAGTCAAAGACTTCAAAATACACTCAGGTCAGCTGGGCTCTTTGTACCTCCAGCTCTTTTTCTGGATTTCTGCACAAACATTGTTGCTGGGCCTTTTCCCAAAGAGGAAAATGCATATGACTTTTTAATTCTGACTCTTCTACTCTGTGGATTAGGAAAATGTGACACTTAAGGTCCTGCTGCTTGTTCTCAGCATAATGTTTTTTTCAGTATCACATCGCTTCTGTTCCATACCTCATTAAAATAGATTTTCCTCTGAGGGAGGTAAACGTTTTTTGTAACTTTAAGTTAATACCTTCTTTCATTATTCAAGTCCTTGTGGAAAATGGAATATTTGTGGGACTAACTGGGAAGTAAGGCACCCATCTCAGGAGGCATTATTAAGGTGGGGTTTTCTCATGCTAAAACTTGAGGTAATTTGAGGTCTACTTTTCTTGTAGTTAGATGACTTTCTGCTCAGAAATACAGCTGGAATTTTCTTAGACCTGGCAACATTGCTGATCTACTATGAGCTGAATTTTAGTACAGCTGAATGGGCACTGTGTAGGCAAATTCTGACAGTTTTTCTTTCAACTTACCATTTAGCATTGATGATAGTATAAATATAGCTCTTTTTTTCCAAAAATCTTAGCTTTTGTACTGAAGAGATTCAGTTCTGACTTTGGCATCTATTACAGTAAGAAGTTAACTGTGCCTGTCTTACTGGGGAGTCTCAACACTGTGTCTGAGATACCTTTATTTCTGAGTAAAAAGTAATTAAAAAAAAGTAAATAGATACTTTTACTTCTGAGTTCTGAGATAATTTTACTTCATGGTCAACTGTTGGGAGTAATAACATGTTCATTCCATGGGGAAACACAGAGGCACTTTTCAGGATCTTTGTTCTTTTGTTGGCTTGTAGGATATGCACTTAGAATCAGGAGGAAGAGCTTTTTTCTGTACAAAATCTCTAGCTAATCTTTTTACTCCTTGATGGATGACTCTAGAGAAGAGTGTTTCTGCCATAGGTGTTATTTGTGTTTGTGTTCATTTGGGACAATTAAACACAAGTAATGATGATAGGGCATTCCCAGTTATCAACTGCAGGCTTGTTGAGCAGATAGAATTAATGGATAAACTTCAAAACTCTTCTCCACATTTGTTGTGACACTGATGAATTAAAAATTATAGTCACCCAATAAAATTTAGTATTAGACATTCTGACTAAAAAGGTAAGTTGTTCTTATAAAATCTTCACTAAAAAAAGAAACAACTATTTTTTACTAGCTGAAAATCTGAAAAGCTGCTACACTTTTCTATTTATATGATATTCATAGTATTGATCAATCCAGCCTGTTTCACTTTATAACATCTCCAAAAGTCCAATAAGACAAATGCCAAGAAAAAATGAGAAAAGGAGTGAAATAAAAAATCACAAACCAAATTGCTAATATTTTCAGTCGCTTATAAAAAGTGCTTGGTGTTAGAGATGTGGAAATAAATCTTAAAGAAGAAGTATTTCTTCATGGGTCTTTTTAGTTGTCCTCAGTAGTTTCTGATACAGCCAATCTTACTTTCTTCTTCAAAAACAAGATATGAAATTTATGCAACCCTTTGCCTGGGAAACAAGATTTTTCACTTTGCTAGCAGTTCAGTTCCACAAAAACAACTCTTAGACCCTATTTAGGATCTCTGTTTAACTTAGCCAGTGAGGAAGGAGAATGATGAACATAATATGACTATAAAATTTCTCTGAAGCAGGTCCATTCATTTCTGATCTTTATTCCACTGTAGGACTCTCTCGGATTTTGAAAGCCCGCTTGGAAATGACCAAGAACAGGGTTGTTGACTGGGCCTTAGCAGAATACATGGCTTTTGGCTCTGTTCTGAAGGAAGGGATCCATGTCCGACTAAGTGGGCAGGATGTGGAGAGAGGTACTTTCAGGTGAGTACTGAGGTAGCTGTTAAATGTGGTCCCATACTTACAGAAACAACTTGGCATTCTCTAAACACTATGCTCTCCTGCAGGGAGAGGGAAGTTTGGGCTATTCAGCATCAGTCTCAGTGTTATAGGTTCCAGCAGTCAAGAATAATCGAATCTCCTGTGTCTCTGTAAACAGCATTTTAAAGAAGAGTAACCAAGGCAGAACAAATATTTTTAAATACTTTCTTCCTTCTCTTGCTGAAAAGCAGAAATTGCATTTTTTCCTGCTTTTTAACAAAAAATTCAGCTGCATTCCATCTAATTGCTAAGAAATAAGATAAGGGGATTTGCTGCAGCAGATTCTGAGTCTTTTAAATACCATTCCAGTGGTGGCTGCTTGGAACTTGTGTATCCTGTGAACAAATATGTTGCCAGTTGGCAAGGCTTTTTAGAAGTCAAATAAGATCCTTTGTACTGAGACTTTTAATGACTACGGAGCATGAATGAAGGCAGAATCTGATCACTTGGTAATACAGATACAGTTTGCTGCCTTACCTGATTCTCTGTGGAGTAAAATGTTAATGATGTATTTAATTGAAGCCTTTGATGTGATGCCAGTTCCTGGGGTGAATGAACTAGCAGCTGTACTGTGCTTCATTGTGAATGCTTGCAGGAAAGAGAAATAAATCTGGGTGCCTGTCTTCTCTGGTGCAGTACTCTCTTTCTGTGCCAAGCTTCATTTGGTGTCTAGTCTTTTGGGCTTTCTTCCTTTTGCTTCCATTCTCTTGGCAGTTTCACAAAATCCTTTGGACAAGATTTGAAAACAAAACTGAAAATCGGGAGATTTCCCCCTTCTCCGGCTTCTCATCCTCCCTGATTTCAGTACCATGGTCTTGTAAAGTGAGCATCTCCTGGGACAGGAGCATCCATGTTCACTGATTAGCAACCTGCCTACCTATTTCAGGTGTGAGCATAGTCATGTCTAGCATACCTATAGACTTGCCTTGCAAATACTGATTCTCTGTATTCCCAGTTCTTGCTCTGGAGGAAGAGGATTCTTCAGACCTATTTTCCAGATTTTCTTGATGTTTAAGATAAAAAAGTTGTTATGTTCATAAAAAAAAAAGTGTTCAGAAAGAAAGCTATTTAGACTGGTGAAGGCTAGCTAAGGATTCCTGTGCTATCTGGGTTTTATTACTCAGTCTTTTAGAAAGCAAGTAAAAAGGCATTCCAGTGAATTCTTGTGAAGTTTGGGACTGAAGCTGGTACTGCAGATGTTTGATTTATAGAACCTGGTTCTGCTTTACTGTTGGGTTTTAAGTTTGCCTGATGGGTAGTGGGATCTACAAAATACTAGCCAATGGTGAGATTATGAATTTTTGTTATGAATGTGAAAGACAGCTGGACAATAAAGGGTGAGATGAAAAAAATGCCTTGGACCTGGGGAAGTCAGAGAGTATTCAGCTCCTCTGTTAAACAGAAGAGAACACTGTAGAAATATGTAAGAGTCAGATCAGTCTTCTGTATTCAAGCTCATTTCATCAGAGGAATAGGTAGAAAAGTTAACTTGTGGTACAGACACATCTGAGACACACTGCAGTTTTCTGTAAAGCTGCTCTTTTTTAGCTGTATTTGAGTTGCTTTGTCATTTATAATAATAGTGAGCAAAGACATTTGCAAATGCTCGTGCATTTTCATTGGAAAAAAACACATTGCAAACTCGCAGCAAGTGTATTTCATTTTATGCTCTCTTTGTAATAACTCCCTTCTTCACTCCCAAAAGTCCTTGGAGTACATAATGTCTCAAATCTCCGAGAATAACTGAAGAGGGAGTATAGGCTAGAATTTGGGAAGAACTGAAGATACTGTGTTGCCATAGTGAAAACAACATGATAAGGTGCCTTCACTGTTTTGGAACTTGGGAAATGCTGTCTAGAAAATAGTCCTTTCTGTCAATATTCTGTGTGAGGGCTTGCTTTCCTCCTGTTTCAGTCCTCCACGCTGTCAATAGATAGAAGCTAGGTAAAGCTGCAGATAGAAGCACCTGGCCCCTTCTCATCTTGGAGGCACACTCTGGAGAAGGGAAGGAAAGGGGGAGAGAGAGAGACTTGAGTCTGTACTGGTTTGATGTCAGTAAACCTGACAATTGCACACATCTGACTTTTGTGTGTCTGAATGTGTCTGGCTGTCCATCTGTGCTCATCTTAATCACCTCTTGCTAGGTAAACACAAGACTGTGCTCAAGGAGCTTATCATCTGTCTAGGCCTTCTGTCTTTGGCTGAATGGCAAAAACCAAAATGTCAGTGGCAAAAATGGTTTCTGCCAAACAGCTACCTGGTGTGTGAATTTCCCCTTTCTATCTACTTCCCTAAATGTGCTGTTTTTCAAGGCTCTGGCCTTAAGTTGTTGACCTCTAAATAAATTTCAGAGCTCTTTTGCTGCTGTTCATTACAGCAAAGGGAGGTACAAAAAGATCCAGGCTTTAGTTCAGTGTTGGCAGCTATACAGCACATAGTATTGCTACCAGTACAATAGCTGTCCTTATGTTAGCAGTTGTAAAGATGGGCATATTGCTGTGATTCACTCAGTTAGTCTGCTCAGAGAGTTAATGGATTACAGTAATTACTTCAGTCATCTCTGTTTTGGTAGTATTCCTTGGTGCCCCATTCTAATGCTGATTAATGGTCTTCTAGAGAACTGTAAATGGTGCATGTGAGTGAAAATACTAGGAAAGAGGATACAACTTCTTCAAGTCTTGGTGCTGAGATTAGATTAGATTATGGTTTTTTTGCATAAAAGACAAACAGCAGTTGTTTTAAGGAAAAGGTGATTAGAATCTGTGAGGGAGGAAGAATGAAATGTTTTAAATAACAGTTTTTCTCCTCTGCATTTTTTTTTTACTTTAATCATTCTATTTTATAGCAACAATCTCCCCATCCTTTTGCCTTTCCCTCCTAGTTCTGCTAGTGATGAGGTAATTTTAGTTTCTCTGAGTGCTGGAGAACAAGCCTGGATAGTCAGTGAAAGTTCTTACAGTGCAGCATTTGTATTTAGATGTGATTGTATTTCACATGGTTTTGACCAAACCAGGGTGTTGTGTGTAGCAAAGACAACTGTGTTGCTTGCACGTGCATTTGGTGCTTTAGCTTTGAAAACAAGAGTTATGCTTGGTTAATCAATTTCCATGAACAACTCTTTGCAGCCACCGCCACCACGTGCTTCACGACCAAGAAGTTGACAAGAGAACGTGTGTTCCCATGAATCACCTGTGGGAGCAGCAGGCCCCCTACACCGTGTGCAACAGCTCCCTGTCCGAGTATGGGGTCTTAGGTATGTCTCTGGCAGATGTGCTTGTGTTTTAATAGCTCTGCTGCACAAGAAGCAGAGCTCAGCAAGGACAAGAATGTGAAAAAAGAGCTGTAAAATGGTCATATATGAGATAGGTATCAAAGCTCTTCCTCTCGGGTTCTGGCATCTCTTAAACAAGAATCCCCACATTTTACAGTTTTGGGATTCACTTGAAAGCATCCATCTGTTGTGGCTGATCTTGGCAGTGCTGGAACGTGCACCTGGTGCTTTCTCAAAAGGGGAGGAACTGACAAGAAAACCAGGGACAGTTTGTAATACAGATATAATAATCCATCCTGGCCGTATCTGAACTGCTATTCTGAATGTGCTGTTTCAAGAAAACAAATTCTTGTTAGTGATAGCATTAATCATAGTGAATTATTTTACCTTCAGCCACACAGAATGGATAACCTCTCTCTGACACGATGAGGGTGGCAAGAGGAATGTGGAGCATGAAACAAATACATCTAATAATTTATCAAAGTGTTGGAGATTCTATGGATAAATAATGAAATATTGTGTGAAGGAAAAAGATGGAACATTGTAGTACATAAAGATGGTAATAGATAGCTGCTTGCTTCAAAGTTCCAGAAATACTTAATTACTTAATAATTTTTACAATTCTACATATTACCTATTGCTAATAATATAAAAATTAAAGTGGTATAAAGCTGTATAGTTGGAGCATGGGCTGAAGAGCTGAGATTTTTTTTTTAGGTATGTTTGTTGGTTCTGTGGTAGAATGCTTGTGAACAGAATCACATTTTTGTACCCATAACATGTAAATGTGAACTCTCAGTAGGAAAGTGCAAGCGAGGATGTGTATAAGTGTGAGAAAAATAATTGACGTAGATAAAAAGGAAGAATTTCATTTCAGAGAATGATTGTTTCCAATTTCCTATTATTTCTCAGAGTGTATTCTGGGGTTTCTTAATTTGAGCCTGTTTACAGTGTTGCTGTGAATTTTATGGATGAGTCATAGGTTTCTGGCTTTGGGTTTTTTATATCCAAATGGAAGTGACAAATGTCTGGATATTTCTGTTGAAATCTGATTTTGTTCCAAAAATTACACCTCAGTAGGAAATTGATATGTTGATATTGAAGGGCAATTCTTATTGTCACAATTCTGTTCTTTAAAAAACTAATCAAGTGGGCTCTTTCTCTTTCTTGATCTCATCCTGCTCACTGTTGCCCCTTCCACCTTGCCCAACAAAAAATAGGTGAAAGTTGATTTAGTAACTTCCATTGAATACAAGCAGTAGGATAAAACAGGGATTTGTTCACACATTGAAAACACGAGTACCATTTCTGTGCAGTTCTGCTTCAGCAGATGGGATGACAGGTTCTTCAAAACAAATAATGTTGATATTTTTAATTGTCAAGAACTTTAAATCTGTTGAATCAGATGCAGTAAAGGAGATTAAGTTGATAGAAATAGTTGATAAGTGATGTGGCTCTTTTTGTGTATTTTTTTTTAAACTAAAAATACCATGTTTCTGTGTTGAAGTGGTTTTATAATGAAGTTTCCTTTCCCTTGCTAGGTTTTACATGCTGACCTTTTCCAACAAGGTTTACTCTGTGTGTTGTCCGCACAGAGAGACAGTGATAAGCAGCAGTGTGTGAACATGTCTCTTCTAGTCAAGCCTCTCAGTCAAAGAGGAGCTGTTAGAATTGATGCCTGTTTGGGTGTAGCACCACTGGGTCTCCTCTTTATACCTGGAAGAATTAGTGCGAGCTTGCAGTTCATGGAGTTGATTCTTCAGGAGAACCAACCCCCCCCCCAATGCTTTATTTTCTCTAACACTGTTTCTACTATATAATTCTGTTCAAAGGAACACCTTGGGATTAGTGCACTGAAGTATTTGGGGGGTGTGGGGTGTGTGGAAGAGTTGTGAGAGAATATAAAGAAAAAAAGAAAGGTGAGAATGTGTTAGGAATTTATTTTATGACTGTGTTAATATAGAGTACCTCAGATGTGTTTTGGGAATTCCTTTACTTTCTGTGAGGGAGAGCTAAGTAAACGTGGATTAAACAGCCCAGCATGATAAAACTACAGATTATTTCCTTGACAGGTATGTAAGCCAAGAGCTGGTATCTGTTCAGCTGGTATCTGTGAGCTTTGCACCAAGTTATAGTTGAGCTGTGTAGGAACACCTGGGATGTCACTGCTCCATTTAAATGATACTCTGACAAGATAGATTTCACTTAGAAATAAAACAAAGGCAGACTTATTGACTTGTAGTTCAGACAACTGCTTATGTTTTGTGTACAGGAAGCTGTGGAGTGTGTGTACCTGGGTCATTAAATCAGAGTATTTAACAACCTCTGATAATTTTGTTTGAAGTCCCATGTCTGCTATTTTTGGGTGTATCCGGATTATTATAATTTAGTTGTGCATCCACTCAGCTTGCTATAAATTTTCCCTTTTACTGAAACTGAATGTCTGGAAGTGTAAGTGATGGCCGAGTGAAGTCATTTAAGCAAATGAAGTGTGTCTGAGTATATTTGCTGATTAAGATGGAGGAGAAAACCAAAAGTAACTTAGAGACACTCCATGCTACCTCTTCAGCATTTTTTAAATTCTTGAAAGGATTTCCTGTCTTTCTTTACAGCCCTTGTGTACTGTTGATTCTCTATCCAGGAGGTATGATTCTTTCAGTCAGATTCAGCACTACCTCTGAGAGATCTTGGGCTGTAGCATCCTGTACTGGGAACTTCCAGGGAACGTCAAGCAAGACAGACTTGGAACTAGTGTGTGGTTCAGGAAATTCTTGAAACATGATACTTTTTGAAGGGGAAAAGTCAAGTGTAAAGCAAAAGGTGAAAGGAAGAGGACAGGTATCAGTGTAAAGTTTGGGCTTTTTTGCAGTATTCACCTAGGATGAAATATGTAGCATTACCTGCTCAGTCAGAACAGTGTATTTTTAAGGTTAGGAGTAGCAATACAATTACCTGTCAGAAATTGTGTTAGGAAGTAGGACAGACTGCAGTAATTAGTGGTGTCTGCATGGAGTTCTAAGAAGGCATCAGTCTTTCTGTTTAATAGAGTCAGCCACCAGATGGGTATTACCTTCACTCTCTCCTGGGCTGTGTTTGGGTTTGTGAAAGGATGCATGTAGTCTGTAGTCCCTGTGCTTAGAATTTCTGCTAACATAGCACAAATCTGTCCATGTAACTTTCCTCATTCTGGCATTAAATCCCTGCTCTGATAAGCCCTTTTAACCATTATTTAACATTCATGCCCTAAGCCACTTTGGAATCATATTGAATTAAGCTACAGCTGTAGCCTTACTTACATTTAATTGAGAAACTACAGTTCTTATGACAATTATGAAAAGTGCTGTGGGGAAAAACACAGCACAGTGTGCTGTGTAGGCTGCCACTTTGCTTGACAACACTTTTTTCTGTGCCAGAGTGATGAAAGAACAGTGAAGGAGCACAGCAGGAACTGGACTAATAGAAACAAGCATTTCTGCTAGGCCTGTCATCTGGGGACCCTAATGAACTCCAGCAATTAAAACATTAGTTTTGCAGCCTTAGTCAAGTGCTGTGTATCTTTCTTCCCTCTCTCTCCTCAGTTTAGAAGTTTACCGAAGTGCTGTGCTGGGTGCTGATTCCCTGTGCCCTGGTATGCTCTGAGCTCTGAGAGGCTGCTGGGTGCTTGTAGTTGGCTGATTGCTCTCTAACACCCTTTGGGTGTGCATATTCCTTATCTGTCATTCTTTGAAAGCTGTGTCTTGCTGCCTGGTTGCCTTGGCACTGGATTTCCTCACAGCTTAAATTTGTTCCCTGTTTTTCTAGCTGTATAGGAGTTACTCCCTTAAACTCACAAGATTTGCACAGCATTCTGCAAAAATGTTCAGTTCTTGTTTTTGCAGACACAAACAATAAAGTTTGCAAGTTGTCTGCTGCAGTTTTTTAAAAATTCTTTATTCTGGTCTGAGACTGAGCCCTCATGAGAGGCCTGGGTAGGAACGTCCTCCCCTGCGGTTCATGTCCCATCCCTAGAGCAGTGGAGACTTTCTGGCTCAGGTCGCCTTCCCTGACCTTGACTTTGGTGCCCCAAAGATTCCTTTTCAGGAGAAGCACCTCACTACTCCTGGGTTCACCTTGTATCTGTCTAGATGTCTTTCCACCAAAAATTTTTCTTAATTTAGCAGTTCAGATCTTGCTCTTTGAGCGATTTTCTCCACATGCAGGTAGGAGCAATAATTCTTGACAGACTCCCTAGTTTCTCAAGAATTAAATCTATTCTGCTACAGTCACTTTAGTTTTAATGTTAGGAATTTTCATTGTCATTTCCCTAGTGGAAAATTGAGTTCTGGTGTACAAAAGGTGTGTTTACCACATACACATGTACCGTGAAATTGGCAACATTAATTTCAAAATATTAATCAGAATGTATAGATTGCATTTGGATATATTTTCCCAGATATTTTTATGGCTATCAGAAAGCTTGCAAATGGTATCTGTCTTAAGATCACACCTTTGGATGCAGATTCACCTAGAACATTGTCACCTTGTGGAGACTAGCACAAAGTTGGCAACGAGACAGGACCTGAGAAATTATATTATTTTTTTGCATGTGAATTCTACAAGTGATCTTTGGTATATGGAGTAAAATCATGTGGGTGCTGTGACCAAATTTTAAGTGTGGACTGAGCTGCATACTCTTTGAAAAGCACTGTGTGATTACTGATACCTCTGAGTGGTCAAGACCTCAGTTTGTTCTTTTCTAAAAGCCAGATTACCCCACCCTTACAGAGAGCAGCATATGCACAAATAAGTCTTGAACATATTGCATATTTCCTCAACCATGTCACCCAATCAGTAGAAATGGTCTCTTCAAGCTTGTGTAAAATTAGAATGGGATTCAAGCCTATCTAGGGAAATCTATTTTTCAGATACCTTTGGGAACAACACGCATGGAAGGAGTTGTGTAAATTTTTCCACTGTTTTCATTGTTTTAAGGGCAACAGAATTACACAAATGAGGAGGCCAGATATTAAAAATATGTTCTGAAGGAAAGGCCGTTCAGGCAGTCAGGCCAAAGGCACGTCAGCAAAAGCCATCTTTGGTGGTAGTGACCTGTCATGGTGACTCACAGACAAAAGGCCTATCTGATTTAACAGTCTCCTTTTGGCCTCTAACTTGCTAGTTGCCTTTTGGTGGGATCATGAGCATCTGCTGAAGATGTGGATGGACTGTTCAGAGATCAGCAGTCCAAAAGCCAAGTGACTCAAAGATTTCTTGCCATGGAGGTTGTAAGCAAAAAGCTGGGTTGGAATCACAAAGGAGGAGGCTATGAAGACACTATAAAAACAGCCTGTAAAACTATTCTCTCTGTAAATAAACAATTCCACTGGAAGCTCTTGTTGCTTTTTTTGCTCATACAGTCAATTTGTCTTGCAGTTAATTTGTCCTGCAGTTGTCCCTCTACTGATGTTCCAGGCAAGTTTGTATACTGACACTGGCTGAAGAGTCTCTTCCCGGAGCAGAAGAGTGAAATCCTGTAGCAGTCCCAGTTTACCTGTACTCATAAAATTAACCTAAAGCAATTTCAGTTTCATGCATAGGTGATCTATGTCAAAACTCCATGACAAGTGTTGGAAGGATGTTCTTGAAGTTAGTGTTACAGAGGGACTTATTAAATAACATGACTAATCTTGTTTTTGTTGGGGATTTTCCTTGTGGAACTGGATAACTTGCTTTAAACTTTCTGTAACCATGTGTTTATTAGTTTTCAATTTCATAAGGAGGAAATGTGTGTCCTTCTCTCTCTCTTCCCTCAGTTTGGCAGTAAAACTTTCAGGGATGAACTACTTGTGTATGTTTGTGGCATCCATCACACAAAGACCTCAATCTTAGCTTAGCTCTCTGATAATGAAAACAAAAGTGAAAGCTGAACAAAACTAAAACATGATAAAGAAGGTTTGGACAGGTTTGATGTGATCCTCTGGTCTTGCTCCCTGAATCAATTCCTTTGCACTAACATTAAAGTGTACATATGCTGTGTGTGCCACATGTTGTTCTCATAATATTTAATTTTTTTAATACCTGGAATGACAGGCCATCTAAAAGGTATCTTAGGTATTTTTCTAATATTGCTTATATAATTTTTTTGGTATTACAGTTCCCTTTAAAGTAATTCTCTTATCCATTGAACTCCACAAAGGAGGCTCTCCTAGAGGGCCTGCAGCCTCCAGTCACCAGGGTATAAATCACAAATGATGAGTATCTGAGAGATGTCAGCTGTCACTTTATGGTCACCCTGTCACAGTAGCCTTCTGTGTGTGGAGATTGTCAAGATGCTAAACTTGTTTCTTTCAGCTAGCCTGAGTTTTTTTGAAGTTCATGAAACTTTTCTAATTGGCAGAGCTGTATAGTGGGTTTGATCAAGTCAGAAATTATGGTTCCAATGACTTTGGGATTTTTCATGGCTTTGCAACAGTTTACTGTAGTTTACTAAATACTGGTGGTCACAAAGTGGTATTGGGTTTTACTCATATAGAGTATTTAGGAGGCATATTAGGAACCTGACTTATGATTGTATTTCAGCTCATAGTCACTTTTGGGTCTAGGAAATATTATCCACAGCATATGGTTTACAAATTGCTGTTTTCATCCTGTATTCCTCAGAATGTCTATAACTGAAATAGACAAGAAACTCAAATTAATGCATAGAGTCAGATTCTACACCTATAGTATCTTTTAAAATAAAATTTTACACCAGCAAAGCTAGTTGCTCTGCTAGTGTAACCTTCAATGAGAGTCTTCCCATGTTGCAGTTCTGTATCTTAAAGCAGATCATTATATTCTGTGCAGAGGTTCAACATAAAATGTATTTATCAATCAAATGTTTGTTTTCTATGCGTATTGAATCAGTTTTGCCTCAGTCAGAGCCTCTACATCCAGAGCAGTGCTGTATAGCACTGCTTTCTACGGAGAGCACTTGAAAGCCTTTTCAATTTTAATCATTCCAAACTATAGGTGTAGAATTCGACTACAGGTATTCACTCAGCTCTCCAGGCTCTGCTATGTCTAAGTGTCAAAGGAAAATATGAACAGAGATCCAATATTTATTTTGATACTATTGGATATGTTTAGATGTTCACTATGGAACCTTACCTGTAAATGTGGTTATAAAACTGAGACAGGTACTCTGCACATGGCTAGGTTTTCCTGTTCTGACTTAACACCAAATTCTGCATTTTTTAAAAAGTTACACAGTAGAGGCCACATAGCACATGCAAACACCCTCATAGTTTTCTATCTTTTACCTTTGCAGAGCTGCTGGGAATCAATTGCCTGGTTTATGTTGCAGTACCAGTTTAGGTTTCTTTTTGCCAGTCATCTCTTCAGGTCCTGTTGTAGAACCAGGGCTTTACTGTACTTCAGCAGGTCTCTCAGGGAGAGCAATAATTTGTTTCTGCCTTTAAGAGGTAGAGCCTTCAGTTATTTTGGGGCCTTGACAAGTTTTTGGAGCAGACAAGAAGGTGAATGGCTTGCTTTGTGCTGGACACCTGAGCTCCTGCTGCAGTATGTTTGTCCTGCTGTGTTAACCTGACGTGGCTGAGTATGGGGAATGTGTGGCACTTCTGCTCTGTATGGGGCTGATGAATTTACAGTTCAAATGGTACAGATTTAGGGAAATTTCTGCACTTACCCGCTACCAAAACCGCCAGACAGTGGAGAGGGAGAAGGTCACATCTTTCTGTTTTCATAGCTTATGTAGTGATGATGTCTTCATGAAGAGCACTCCTCTGCCACTGAGGCAGAGACCCAAAGGGTCCTTAACTCTGCCAAAGAAGGGATTGTTTATCCAAGTCCCACATGTGTCTCTCATGCAGCTATTACGTTCAAGCTTTTTTGAAGATCTGAAGACTATGATCCTGTCTGTAGACTGAAAATTGATGCCACCAGTCATTTTGTTCAGCACTTGCAGATGAGAGAGGGGGAAAAATCCCCGATGTTGTTCAGGGCTGTGCAAGTATTAAAATTAGTAAGTAACTTTTTGAACTGGTAATGGGCTGTAAGTGGGTTTTTACAGGAAAAGATAATAGTGAGCTCTCAGGAAAACATTACACAAAAGTTGGAGCTGAGGGAGGGGTTTTAGTTGTTCATTTAAAACATTGTATGATATTGAAATATTTGAGGAATCGTTTGAAGGATTGGAGTCAGGATTGGAAAAATGTTATTTGCTGATTTTTGTGATGGAAATGGTAGTATTGAAAACAGCATTATTTATAACAGGGCTACAAAAATCCAGTTCACGCTCTTATTTTGGGTTTGGTTTTTATTTTTAATGAGAAATGAACCGAATTCTCAGCAAATCTGTTTACTTTCTAATTCTCCTGCTTGTCTGGTTCTCAGGCTTTGAACTTGGCTTCGCTATGGCGAGCCCCAACGCCCTGGTGTGCTGGGAGGCCCAGTTTGGTGACTTCCACAACACGGCGCAGTGTATAATAGACCAGTTCATCAGCTCCGGCCAGGCCAAGTGGGTCCGGCACAACGGCATCGTCCTGCTCCTGCCGCACGGAATGGAAGGAATGGTGAGGGCAGCTGGCTGGGAAATGCAGGAGGGAAGTGCTGGCTACAGTGCCTTCCTCTGCAGCTGTAAAAGCCAAAGGTGTCGTGGGGAGCCAGTGGTGAGAGAAACCCAGGGGAGGAAGGCGCTGTTTAGCATGTTGGACTGCCTCAGTGTTACAGAAAACAATGTGAATAGATTGATAGGCAAGAACAAAAAAACCCCGAGAAACATTTCTGAGCTTTTAGCTTTGTGTCCTCCTTATTGGCATGTACCACTTTTCCTGCAGTTTTTTTTATTTTTTATTTTTATTTCTCTTTCTGGGTACCTTTCCCTAAAATATTGGCTTCTTTCCCTAGAAAGCTGGATTCCTAGTGCACAATGTGAGTGTCTAGGAGTGCTCGCTTGATTTTATGTTGCATAAAGTATGTCTGTGTAAACTCTGCACTAAATTGTCTTGCAATGAAGTGACAGGAGACAACTTTAAAACTTCTTCAAAAATAATTGACCTTGATTAATTTTTGATGTAATAAGAAATCTCCCTCTTTCTGGAAAGGAAAATGTTCCACTAGCTGTTGACTCTCTTTTCTTTGGTGGCTGGAAGGAGGAACTAAACGGTGTCTTTGAGGGAGAGGGCAGGGGCATGCTCTGTATATAACGTTATATGAAGTTCATATCAGAAGTAGAATTGTTCTTCAAATCTTTTCAATTATTTTTAAAGGTTACATGAACATGATGTCAGGCAAGGTTAATTTTTTCCTTTTCAGATACATTAACCTTCATGAATTGATGCATGTATGTTTCTAGTTTCCTATTAAGAGAAGTATAGTATGTCCCACAGTGGCAATCTCCATCTGTATAAATGCTCTAGACCCTTTCACCACAAACTGCGTCATTTCCATTCTCACAAACAATATAGTTTATTTCCATTCAATTATAATCCTGCCCTGATATACTGGGGTGCATTCATATCCATGAATGTCTTTCCATATCCATTGTGCGTAAAGAATAAAGGGTCTGATGCTGTTCACAAGAGTTTTGATAAATTAATTTTTTTAACTGAATCCTGAGGGACAGCCTGAATGAGCCCTCAGCAGGAGGTGTGGTCCTCTGCAGGGAAGCATTCAGCTGAAGGGGCTGTTCTCTGCTACTTACAATACATTCAATCTTTCTTTTTGGCAGTGAAGATTTGCACAGGTCTTCTGAAACATGCTTGTTTTGCTACTAATGTCAGATGGTTTTGGAACATTTAAGGATCCCACCAGGTTTTTTAAATCCATTACCTTCCCAGAGGATCTTTGCATTACAGACGTGTTAGTCTGTACCTACAGTGTTGGGGACAAAATGATTTGGGGAAGGATTCGTAATGGGATATGGATCCCCTCACCTCTAGGTCACGCATTCACAGGCAAGTAGGCTGTGATTGAAAGACTCTGCAGCCTAATGGCTCCTTGGGGACTCATCTGAAAATAGCTAATGGATTCAGTGTAGGTCTCACTGGATAGGTGGTCACAGTAGAAATAAACCCTACCCCATCCCACACAGCAGTTGCTGGCAGTCTGATTGGTGGTGTCAGCAGGGAAATCGAAGATGGATGTGGACACTGAGGCTCTGGATTGAGGTTGTTGCTGGGGCAGTCTGTATGTGTATGTTAGGGAAGCCTCGCTGTCTCTCCTGTAATTATTTGCAGGTAACATCTCTGTTTCCAGTGTACTGAATGCAGTGTGCTTGTGGAGCACTGTGTTTGTCTATGTATAGGCTCTGCTTAGTGCAGGATTTGATTTACAGCAAGCAGGTGTGTAGAGCAGAGGTATTGCAATATACTGGACCATTACTGACTGTGCATCACAGTTCTGTGCACCTTTGCTCCTTGCTCCCAAGTCCTTACCCATCTGTGACCAGGTTATTTGGCACCTCAAAAGTGGAGGCACACTTCAAAAGAGTGGTGACACGAGGCACAGTTCTTGGCTGTTTGTGTTACTCATTTGTTGCCAGCAGAATGTTTTTTCCTTTGAATTCCCTTAGTCCATGGAGTAGAGTGAATCACAGAGTCATAGAATGGTTTGGACTGGAAGGGATCATGAAGACCATCTAGTTCCAACCCCCTCATCACGGCTAGGGAATGTTCTACTAGACCAGGTTGCTCAGAGCCCCATCAAGGCCCAACCTGGCCTTGAACACTTCCAGGGATGGGGCCTCTCTGGGTAACCTGTGCCGGTGCCTCACCACCGTCACAGCTAATAATGTCTTCCTCATGTCAAATCTGAACCTGCCTTCTTTCAGCTTAAAGCCATTCTCCCTGGTCCTGTCAATTCCACATCTTTGTAAATAGTCCCTCTCCAGCTTTTCTTGCAGGCCCCCTTTAGGTACTGGAAGGTGCTGTAAGGTCTCCCTGAGGTCATGTCTTCCCCAGGCTGAACTATCCCAACTCTCTCAGCCTGTCTTCATATGAGAGGTGTTCCAGCTCTCTAATCTTTGTGGCCCTCCCGTGGACTCTGGAATCCTACACTTGGAATTAGGGAGAATGATGTGTTGAATCAAGATGTCAATGACTGATTTTGGAGATCATCTGTTAAGGTTTCAACAGAAGAAGTTATGATGAGAGACTACCATATAAAGAAAAAATCTCTTTACGAATATCAGGAACTGAGGAGCCATGGGGAGAGTTGAGAGGTGTAATAGTTTATGTCTTTGGGTTAAAATACTTCACAGCTGTCTCCAAAATGAAAGTCCTTCCTAATAGTAACTGTCACTTGAACAAACAAAGGCTGTCAGCATTAGCAATATATAAAAACACTTCTTTTTTATTTTTTTCTTCCTATACTCTTCACAACCTTGTCTCATCCTTTATAAACAAGGACATATAGACAGGAAGATAACAGATTCTGTGACACTCCTTATTCCTGATATTGTCTGTGGTCAGCATGCATGTTTTGCTAATGTAAAATGGATATACAATGTTGGTGCACTTCAAGAAACTACCTTGGGTACTCCTGGTGAGAGAGCAGATGTGAGTGTTCAGTAATGACAGAACACAAAATACCTCTTGAGGAAGCAGATATTAATCATAGGTTAGTTTGGCAGATAGTGTGTCCATGTATTTTGATCCATTTTAGCTGAAGCATCCATCCAGGTAATTGGTCCTGTGCTGAACAGTGAGCAGTGGTAGGAGACAGATCCTGTGTCTGCTTTTGTTGCTGATAAAGCAAAGGTAGTCAGCAGTTAACTTTGTGTTTGCTCCTGTTCAGCATGCAAGAAGTGTGAGCCACTGCAGTACACTGAGCCACCTGGAGTTTCTCTTCCTGACATTCCTCCTGCTCCTTTCTGACCTGCATAAGTAAGGTCATTCTTGTGCCCACATGGACCTACTGCCTTTTCACTGGTCTTCACTGTGCAGCTGTATTGAGGCTAGAAATTACTTGAACCTAGTAAAAGCATTGGAAATACATGTGAAACCTAATATCCCATGAAAAGAGTTAATAGAAGACAAGGAATTCCCATCCTGTGGTGCGTCCTCACTTCTCACTGCTGCTGGGGGCAGGTGTGCAAGATGGTGCAGAGCTGCCAGGGTGACAGGAGGTATTTATGCAGTGCATGATCTAGACTGATGTCTAACTGCTATTCTGGCTCTTTAACGTTGTTTTAAATTATACCTTTACCAGGGTCCAGAGCATTCATCAGCCAGGCCTGAGAGGTTTCTGCAGATGAGCAATGATGATTCTGACGCCTATCCAGTAAGTAGTTTTGTCAAAGGCCACGTCCTTTTTTTTTTTTCCTTCACATCTCAGAGATATTTCTTGTAGGAAGCATCCTTTTAGCTGGGTATAGCAGGTTAAGATTTAGCTTGGTGTAACATTAACTTGATCCCAGTAGAAGTAATGGAAGTGTGCAGTATTGCTGCTTCATTGCAAAGCTGAGGTCACATACAATTAATCTCTGGCAGCATGATCTTTTTATGGCTGTTCCTCAGGGCCAGTGATTCTGCTTGTTTATATTGCTGTGTGTACTGCAAATAGGTGCCTCTAGCCAATTTCTAAAGAAGGCCAAGTGAGACTACTCCTTGCTTTTTGCAGAGGAGCAAAATTGTACTGCTAGGAGCATGAAAATAAGCAATTTATAATTGTGATTCATCAAAGACTTTCATAGGTTGATCATTCATTTCTACAGAGGATGTACATTGCTCCACAGGATGCTGGGCATCCACTTTCCCGCTGCAGGTTTGCTAATAGACATTGCCATGCATTTGTTGAAAAGCTTTAAAGAAAAAAAAAAAAAAAAAAAAGGCAAAATAAAATGGATATTTCAGTTTTGTTCTTGACTTTGTTACCCTTCGGGCAATGATAGTTCCAAAGCCATGTTCCTCCTCAACTAAAAGGTGTTTTTGTTACCTTACTCTCAGCAGATAAAGACCTGTTTGAGTGATTATACTTAATGAGCAAGTTATAAGTTTTATCATAGAAGGTAGGAGCTCAAGTCACAGACTGAGAAATTCGGTTAAATTCTGTACCAATCTGTGAAGAGGTTATTGTGTCTGTACATAAGCTTACCTAATATATACATATGTAGCTATGGATAAAAAAACCCCTATATTCATAAAGTATATAAACATTTATATTAATGTAATAAAATAAGAGGATGGAACACCTACCAAAAAAAGGAGAGAGTGCAAGTTAACTCTACACTCACAAATTCAATTATAGCTTAACATTCTTTCAAAGAGATTTTATGTCTTTCACCTGCTGAAGTCCAAGTCCTCCTCAATCTTCACTCCTGGACTTCCCAGTTTATTTAAATTAATGGAAGCTTCTTGTGTTTATCTGCATAAATTTTTAGGAAGAAGTAGAAATGGAAGCAAATGATTTGTAGGGATGCTTCCCTAGCTAATAAAACATTCTCAGCAGAGAGCTGCTAATTAACTTTTTTTGAGGAAGGGAGTTGCTGAGAGGCAGAAATAGAAGGATGGCTTTCAAGCCTTTTTTCTGATCTTTTCCACATTTTTCTAATGCCTTGAATGTCTCTCTCAGGAGTTCAGTGAGCAGTTTGAAGTTTCCCAGCTGTATGAATGCAACTGGATTGTGGTGAATTGTTCAACTCCAGCCAACTACTTTCATGTCCTCCGAAGACAGATCTTGCTGCCGTTCAGAAAGCCGGTAAAGTTACTGTAATGAACTTGATTTTTTTAGAGATATTAACCCTCACATAAAGAGAAGTCTTCTTTGCATATGACATGCTGCTTGAAAGGATAAGAATCATTGGAGAAAAATCTTAACTGAACATATGTTGAAGTTACCATTTTGATGGGAAGAAACTCAGCTCTTACTTACTATGATTCTAAAACCTGATTTTTAGCTTTGCTATCTGGCTATGAAGATCTTCAGATGAGCTTGTCAAGGTACTACTAATGTAGCTAACAGGTTGCATAAATATCATCTGCTTGTCTAATTGCTGGAACTTCAGAAACCTAAGATACAACCGTTGAATGTTTTATTGATTCATAGCCTGTGGTTTGATTTGCTGTCAGAAAGAAGCACAAGCAATGAGTTTGAGGACCTTCAAAAGGAGTAGACTATCCAAATTTTTTGAGTAATTTTGAAACTTCCATGGCTTTCAAAACAGGAAAAATACTGTGTTTGCTGTTCACATTAATTTATTCCATAGCATATACAGTTTGTGGGGTTTGGATCAACAGTGTTGCAAATGTTGCATGTAATAATGTATATAAAGCAGCTCCTGAGTGCTGGCAAAATTTCTGTCTTACAGTTGATTGTTTTGACACCCAAGTCACTGCTGAGGCATCCAGAAGCTAAATCCAGTTTTGATGAAATGGTGACTGGTAGGTGACCTTAAAGTATTATGGACAAATAATTAGCTATACCAAGTTGCATGTCAGACTGTGGAGATGAGAATCTGCTTTGGAGAGTTTGCCTTTTCTTTTGCCATCATTTCTGTGAAGCTGTCATGGTGAGATCTAGCATGGACTTTTACTGAAAAATCTGCTTTCAAGTGTAGAATCTCAACTTTTAACAGGTTTATCTTGTAAGCAGCCATTAATCTTAAAGTAGTGAAAAGTGCATTCCTATCTCTGCAGGGATGTTCCCCTCAATAGGCTGTTATGTCTCCACTCTTTTTCTCTTCATGTAAAAACTTAATTGTTCTCTTCACTGCCCATGGCCCCGACCCCAAGATGTGAATGGCATAGTTTCTAATTACACTGTGCCCATTTGTAAGAGTAAAGAGCCCAGTTCCTCTTACAATACTCGGTTTTGGGGCTGCAGTGTCCTGCCAGTGATCCAAAGTGAGAGGAGTTCAGAGCTGCAGGCTACCACCCCAGCTGTTGCTGGCAGGCCATCAGCACCAAGAGATATGTAGTGACTGCAGAGGGAATACCAAAAACTTCAGTGATTTTTTTTTTCCTGCCTTGCACTGGTTTTAGGCCATGTTGGAATGGCGTGAGGAAATGCAGTGACCTGTAATGAGTGGGTGACTAAAGTGATCGTTCAGAATGACAAAGTGTGCATGAGGTGTGCTGGGCTGTCTCCAGTTACACTGAGTGTCTTAACTGGTATCAGAAGAGAAAAACTGCTCAGTTTTTTAAGATCACATTACGGTGTGTAAACGTGCTTAAATATTGCATTATCTCCTTTTTGTATGCGAGTAAAGTTTGATTCTCAAGCAAAGGCATTTGCTGTTTTTACTGCTGTTTAAAAGCTTTGTAAAACAGGCCAGAATAGAAATTCTGTAGAGTTTGATTTGTCAATATGCCTTGGGAGTCCCCTCTACCTCAGGCTAACCCTCAGTAGTGGCCAAATTCTTAATTAACATTGACTTCTGACTTGCTTGTTTCTGCTGAAGAGGACAGCAAGGTAGCAAAGTATTGCTGACTCTCAGCTAACTCTTTTTGCTCTGCTTTTAATGGAAAAATGAGGAGAACAAGAATTACTCCAGCTGACCCAATCAGCACAGTCTTTTTTAATGATGAATTCTGCTGTTCAGTGGGACACAATAATTCTGACATAAATCAGTTCCTCTTTCATATGTTTGTGCTGTTACTTTTCTTCCCCCAAGATAAATGGTTCAAACAGGAGCTTATTCTCCTGGTGAGTGGGTGTGATGATTCAGACTAGGAGGTCGTGCCGCTGTCTGCTGCCCCGCAGTTGGTTACTGTGGAAATAGTTCTAATCATTCATATAAGAGAGCAAAGAAAAGGATCTTTTAGACCATCAAGTCCCTCTTCCAGTTTCGTGTATCCCAAGCAGATTGTATTCCTGGGAGTTGATGTCACAGGGGAAAAGATCTCCAGCAGTGAGGATACGCATCTGGAGTTGTACTTAAACATTATCACTTATTCTCAAGTTCTCAACCACATGTCTCAGTTCTATGCTAATTGTTACTTTGGATAATGCCATTTTAGCTCTCAAACAGAGGTTTAAATAAACATATGGCAGTAGTGTGCATACTTGTGTAAATATTTCTGCAGTTGTCAGATTTAGTTGCATTATGGATAAGGGTGAGGGTTTTTTATATAAGAATATTCTGAAATTTTGTAGAGCTATATTAATGTTACACAGTTGAAATCATCTTGGAAAGAAGAAACAGTATTTCAGGTAATTCTCAGGAAAAAAAAAAGAGCTGGAAGCAAAGGTGAGCTATCCAGCCAATTTAAAAGTAAAGGTGTAATGCAGAACACAAAGCTAAAAGATAATCCACTGTTAACATGTTTCTGTCTTTAAGTGTCAAAGACTAGATTACTGACAATGTTCTAACTTCTTGAAACTGAACTGCTGAAAGTCACTTCAGCGGAGTTACTGGTCTGAAAAGCAGGAATAGAGAGGCAGGAGACTCCTGTGATCTGTAACCTGCTTCTTGCTCAGTAAAGGTGGGCTGCTTTATTGAAATGTCAGTTCCACTGAGAGCATATTTCTAATTTGTGTTCCAAATAGGTACCACTTTCCAGCGTGTGATTCCTGAGAACGGGCCGGCAGCTCAGGCGCCTCATGAGGTCAAGCGAGTCATTTTCTGCACTGGAAAGGTGTACTATGATCTCGTGAAAGAGAGGAAGAATCAAGACCTGGAGAAACAAGTAGCTATAACCAGACTTGAACAGGTGAGCTCCCTGATCCTCAGAAGACAGAGTCCTTGGGGAGACTTCCAGCAAGGGGTTCCTGTGCTTTTCAGTAGGCACCACTTGCTAGAATGGATGGCAATAGAATTTTTGCAGCATTTGGCATCTTACAAGACATATTTTTAATCCTCTGTGGCCTTTTGAAGAAGGAACACATCAATAGTATGCTGGACGATGAGATCCAGAAAGCTTGCTGACTTTTCCAGAACAAAGTAACAAAGTGAAGGTTACAATATGATGGCACCTTAAATTTGTATATGCTGTCTGTTAACTTTAAATGTTGTGAATAGTACACTTTGAAGTGTTTTGTCATTCACTAATTAAGGATGTCACAGCTGCTTCAGCAAAAAAGCTGTAGAGGGTGCAGGTGATCTGGACTGTGACCTACTTCTGTTCGTACTAGTACAGCTATAAAATATGTGTTTATTTATTTCTGAACATTAAATCAATTAGAGAAACATGAGTCACTTTCCATGAAAAAGTAATGACTCACCATGGGCTTTAAACCACGTAAGAGAAAGCTTTGCCAGTTGTTACCCTCTCTTTCCAGATCTCACCATTCCCCTTTGACTTACTGAAAGAAGAACTTGAGAAGTATCCAAGTGCTGATCTAGTTTGGTGTCAGGAGGAGCACAAAAACAGTGGATATTATGATTATGTCAAACCTCGTTTCCGCACTATTGTGAACCACACTCGACCTATCTGGTAGGAGACTTTAAAACAATTGCTCTGTCTCCTGAGCTGATTTGTTTGCTTTTAAATGTGTTTGAGATTATTTTCAAGTTTCGTGTGTTTGGGAGTTTTTTCCTTTTAAATTTGTTTTTTGACTTGAGGGTGGTATTAATGGGTAAATTAGGTTCTTTACAAAACAAAACCTCTGAGTCTGGGTCTTTGGTGGAAGAGGGAAAAAGTCTATACTCCTGTTTCTCAAGTACAACATGCATATCTTGCTCCTTCTTGTAGTTCTAAAAGAAAACCAGTAGCAAGTAGCTCTGTATTTATTGCCTCTTAGCACAGCACTTAGTTCTCTTGGATTTTTCTCTCTTATTGTCTAAGATTCTGTCTTTTAAGAATTTCCAAATGTTAGGTTTCTGGAGGAAACAGCTGTTGTAAGAGCTCACTCCAGGTACCTTTGCATTATTTTAGATGATTGACTCTCGGATCTGCCCGTGCAGCTGTCAGAGGAATGAGAATCTTCATTGCCAAAAGCAAATTATCTAATTATGAGGCAGTGTAGCTGGCTGCCCTGGGAGGGATGGGGGAGAAGACACAGCTTTATAATGATGGGAGGGGAGAAGAGGGGGAAGCTGACCAAAAAGTATAATTTGGTACAACCTAGATTGATTTTTATTTAAGAAAGATTGATGACTAAATGTCCAAGCTGACTTGAATGCATTAAACAGCATATTCTCATGCTTGTTATTGTCAAAATAGTCTCTCTTCTCACCTCGTTTGTTTGCCCAATTCTTTTTGTCACTCAGGTATGTTGGCCGAGAGCCTGCTGCTGCAGCTGCCACAGGCAACAAGAACACGCATCTGGTGTCACTCAGGAGATTCTTGGATACAGCTTTCAACCTGGAGGCCTTTGAGGGAAAGACATTCTAACTGCAGGGCACTGACCCTTCTCTGGCTGGTAGTCTCTCAAAACACTGCATCCAAAAGAAAACAAAAGTGGGGAAAACACTGGACATTATGTATCTTTGCTTTACCAAATAAAAGGATCCAGCAGCTGACTTCATTAATATGTAACTTGCTTCCCAGTTAGTAAGGAAAAAATAATTCCAACTTGCCTTCCATCATTTTTTGCCACTTGTCTGTTTAGATTGGGACCTCTTTGACACAAGAAGTGTCTCCTATCCCAGGATGCAAGGCCTAGCTCGGTAAGGCTTGTATCACAGTCTGTGGGCACTGTCTAATTACTGTAATTAAGTAGAGCAGGCGTGGACAGCACGATAGTTACGCACACAAGAGACTTTTTTTTTACAAGGAAAGTAAGTGGCAGCTATTTCTGTTTATATATTGGAGAAGAGTAACGGAACCAAAAAACAGAGATGACTTTGGCAGAGAAATGTACCGGCTGTGGTTGTTGCAAGGAGATGGTGAAGTAACCTGAGGATGTGAGGAGCCGGCTGAAAATAGGGGTCAGGTTACAAAGTGTTAGACTGGGTGGTAACAGAAGGGCTGTGGACCACTCACCTTTAAGGTCAAGGAGCCTGATGAAGGCAGACATAAAAGGGACCAAGAAAAGGTTTGTTTGGGGGCAACTGAGGAGGAAAGAAGGGTGGACAAGACCACAGCTGACAGAGAAGTGGGTCATCAGCAGGAGAATTCAGCATCAAATGACTTCAGAAGAGGTGACAGCACCAATTGCTTCCATTCCCTGTGCTGCCTGCTTTGATGCTGTGTGTTATTAGGGAACTGTGGGATCCTGTAAACATTCTTATTTTGGATGAGCACGTACTACTTTCCCCTCACCATGCTGTTAGGATCTGCTTCTCTTTGACCTGGTACCATCCTTTAAAAGATTGTGTTTGGATGAAAAATCTGTGTTTGTGCAACAAGCAATGGATTCTCTGTTTTGTCCAGTGCTGTTTCCTGCCTCACATCTCCTTGCTGATACTAATTCAACTCTGAAGTGGCTGTTCCTGATTTACCCTTTTTTTTTATGTTAAGAGGAAGGTGGGCAAGCAACTGTTGCTGATTTACCAAAGGCACATGCTGTGGTTTTGTACAAGTAGGGATTGATTTCTTTGGTCCCTTGTGTTTATTTGTCAATCGGGATATTAATTGCCATGTACTTTCAGTATGGACTTTAAAGTGAACCACCTCAGGAGCTGGCTCTGTGTCAGGTGGCTGAGGTACAGCAGGTGCTGAAGGGAGAGAGCAGCAGGGGCTGTTTCTTTTCCCAGGACATAATGCTTGGCTTCCTGGGAGGCACTGCTTGTGCTTCCTCCACAGTGCTGGAAGGCAGGTGAGCCCTGTTTGCTCTCCCCTCCTGATATCACAACTAGTACTGTCAGAAGTCATGTTCCCTCTGGCCCAGGAGAACTTGGCTCTGGGTGGACCTTGTGACTGCAGGTTTCTGCAGCACCAACCTGTGCAGTGGCAGGAGACTCCTTCCCTTCTTCCTGCTGGCTGGCAGAGAGAACAGCGGGATGAGCAGGTCAGTGGTGTGGGAGGGTGCAGAGGAATGGCCACGCCTGTGCTGGGGCTGTAACCAGCTGCACAAGGGTTATCCTGGGTCTGCTGAGCAGCCCCTTGGATACGGCACAGCAAGGGACTGGAAAACAGATGAGACTTCCCCCCCATCTCCACTTCCCTGCCCTGAAGCTCCTGGGAGACACTTTTGCTCTTGGCAGTAGGTTCAGCCCTGCTGCTGCTGTATTGGCTGTGACACAGCGGAGCACGACAGTTTTTGCCTGATTCAAGGAGCTGGGTGGTGCTGGAAAGCTTCTTCTCTCATCAAAATAAACAGTATTAAAAACTTTCAACTGTGATCAGGTACTACTTACCCAAGCAGGTTACCAAAAAGGGATGTGTGCCTTCTGCTGTCCCTTTGTTTGGCCTGGGTACAACAGAACAGTGAAAAAACGATCCTGTCAGAGCATAAAATCAGCGTTGCAAGGGACTTACCACGGGATTCAGAACTCAACTTAGTCTCATGTTAGTGAAACTCGGTAGCACCCTTTTAAATCAGGCTGGTTGCCTTGGGCCTTTTCTCTCACCGAAGCATTAAAGCTAATTCAGTCTTTTGAAACCTAATGAACTCGGAAAGTACTGCAGTTGACAGCCACAAATATTGTCTCCTGTCCCTTTGTATAGCTCAAAACATTAAGCTGATAGGCAGTAACCATCGCCCAAAGTATTTTAATGCTTTTATGAATGCTTGTTTCTGTAGCAAGAATTGAGTGCAGCTAAATATTTCTGGCACTGTTTGTTGTATTCTCAGTTTGCATAAGGCAGGTCAGTGCTGCATGGAGTCTGATAAATGCACTTATGCCACAGCACATGCAGAGGTAGAAAACAAATTTGACATAGAAATATAAATGGTAAATGACAGCTTTCCATTTTCATTGTGTATCATAGATTGTGGCATAATAGCTGCATAAAAGTTCCATCAAAGAATGTAAAAAGCCCAATAAAATAAAAATACGTATGAAGAAAATTCTCTGTTATGGCTGGTATTTTTGACAGTTTCTCTTTTGAGTGCTGGCATTAGCATCCCATTTGTAAGACTTCTAGGGCAGGTCATTTTTCTGTTCTCTGTTTATTTACTAAATAATGGCTTATTTAAATACAGAAGAATTGAGGGAGGCAGCATTTGGACTAGAAAAAGATAATTATTCAAAACCATTGGGTTGAAATTGGTAATACAATTGAGGTTATATTAGAATATTTTGTTCTATTATATTCCAATTTTTTTAATTAATAAGTGGATACATTTTTATTTCAATTAGAGTTTTTTAAATACTGAAACTAGACTGGAATTAACTTCTCTAAATTCTAAACACTGAAATTAATTTCATATGTTGGCTCTTCAGCTTTCAGCTGTTAAACAATTGAAAGTCTACCAGAGAATTAAAAATTGCTAAATGCATAGTTTATATCTGTGGCACTTCAATGAGGCCCCTTAATTAAGAAACTTACAGAGAGTTCTCAAATAGGTGCACATGAAATAGGTGCACTATCAACAATGGATGCAAGTTTCTGCAATGGTAGCTTCGCACCAGGTTAAGAATATTTCTGTGATCTCACAGAAAACAAATACTTTGTTAGAACTAGCTGACAAGTTAAATACCTTCTACAGCAATTGACTCATCTTGGGAGAGTGTTTGAAGAGGACTGAACTATTACATAGGCCTCTCCTGCAAAAAAGTCAGCACTGAAATTCAAATGGCAGCTTTGTGACTTGGAAGAAGCAGCAAATGTGAGAGTCCATTGCCTTCATCGCATTTGTGGGTGACGCACCAGGCCATCCATGCCCACAGCAGCAAGAGACTCGTGAAGACAAACAGCTCCTGTCACAGGATTGTTTTTCCTTCCTAGCAGCGACCTGATGAGCTGTGCGAACAGCAGGGGGGTGCTTGGTGGAAACCTTTGCTCTGCCTGCACTGCAGTCGGAGTCAGTGTCCCAGAGCAGAGGAGTAATCTGTTCTCTGGAACAGAGAGAGTTCTGCTCCTTCCAGGAGGTGAAAATTAACATATGAGACTAGACAAAAAACAGGAATGTGTGTGCACTGTTTGAGCTGAGTAGATGAAAGCTTGCGTTGTTTTTTTGTTTGTTTGTTTTAAGAACCCCTTGCTAGACTCTCTGGCTGCTGTTTCAGGAGCTCTGGGTAGCTCTTACCTTGGTGCACAACCAGCAGATGTGCTGCCTCTGATGCAGAGCTGGGAATAGCCACTGCTGCTAATAATAAGAAAATGAAAGCTTGGGAACCTCTGCTCTGTTCTCACACATACATAGATATATATATATATATAAGTATTTTTAATTGATGTTGGCACAGAGGACTTTGAACACTGTCTAAAACATGAAATAGAGGCACACTCAAAATTCATGTGAAGCCAGATATGAGCAGATAGAATATCTCTGTAAAGTTAACAAGTCTGGTCAAAGATAGAATAAAAAAGTCTGCTATTGTCTTTTGAGTTCAGAATGTTTTGATTGCACAGGCAGTTCCCCGGGTTGGTGCTGGGCTGTGGGACACAATTAGGAGCTGCCAGGGCCCCTGCCAGGCTGATGAGCTACCCCGAGCACCTGAGCACCTAATTATGGCTGATGGGACTGGCCTGTGTGCTGTGGGGGTGGCCAAGCAAATGCTGCTGGGTAAAGCCCAGGTTTTGTCCACATCTCTATCTTATTTGTTGTCCTCCCCTAAATGTTTCAAAGACTTCCCCTAGTTTTCCTGGAATGGGACTGTGGCTGTGGCCCTGGCACAGGGTAGGGGGTCCCTGTGTGGGGCATTGCTGGCCATTTCTCCAGTAGGAAGGACCAGAGTTAAGGAACGGTGAATGAGGCTGATGGCGCCTGCTGGGAAAGGCAGGAGAGAAAAAGGTCCTCAGGCTCCCAGATGCAGGTAAGGGACCAGTCTGGTGGGAACTTGGGTAGGGGTGTCTCATTCTGCCCCTGGGATGAAGGGAACACTATTTTTTGAATTATTATCAGAGCTTCTGAGGACGTAAGGCCTAGAGAAAAACATAGTGTGGCTGTGGATTTCTGATGCAGGCTAATGGCTAAAGATGCTCAGGATGTAAAATACTGGCACTTGCAGTGTGAGTGCAGTGAGGGGTTTTGGAAAAATTAAGGAGACCTTTGAGTGAAAGGTGGTAGAGAATGCATGGGACTTTTTTGCTCTATTTAAAAAAAAAAAAAAAAACAACACCAAAAAACCCACCAAAAAATCAACACATAAAAAAATTAATCTTCCTTCCTGAGGAGAGGACTTTTTTTGGGCTGCAGCTGGGTCTGCTGGGATGGGCAGACATTAGACCACTACTCCTCTTCCCTCTCTCCAAGCCCTGTGGACAAGATTACAGGTCTTGGAGCTTTGGTCAGAACCTGTCATACAACCTTTCTGTGCTGATGAAAACACACCATTATAAATTAAAAACCAATAAACCAAAAAAAATCTTGGCGTATGAGGGTAATTTTGCATATGTCCTTCTGCCCTTGTTCTTGAATAATAAAGGTAATTGAGTAACTACAATGTGACACTTTAAATGGCAGAAGGCATTCACAATTTCTATCAGCTCTGATAAAAAAGTTTCGTTGATGGTTTTTGGTTTTTTTGGTCCTTCTGGCTGTTAAGTAGTTCTGCAAAGTCTGCTTGTGTAGCAACAGGAGTCTTGATTTCATGGACTCTGCTGATTAAAAAGATCATTGAAAATTTTTCTTCATGTTTATGCAGAACAAGGACAGAGATTAAGTGGATACATTTTCTTAATTATCAGTGTAAGATATCAGGAAACAGCATGAAGTCTAAAATAGAAATTCAACATACTTGCAAGAAGGAAACAGATGAATATTGCTTCTTTTCTAATGCATGCTTTTTAACATTGAAACCACTTCTGGTTTCAGATACCTCTCAACTATTACTTCAGCTTGTGCTTTTCTCAATGCCATTATTTAAAATTTAACCTATTATCCAAAAGGAATAAAAGAATAAGAGGAATAATTATTCAGGAAAAATAATATTTTGGACATTTATTAGCTTTGATTGAAAATGTTTCACAGATTTCCTCAAAGTTTTCAATTATTAATAAGCGCACCAGGCAGTTCCTTTGTGATATTTAAGTGATGGAGTCATTAATGGCAAATGGAGATCTAATTTGTTTAGGGGGAAAACAGTTGTAGTAATCACTAAAGATGCTGCATGAAACACTGAAATATCATTTCTGTGGCAGAAATCTTTACTTCCTGTTCAGTAGCCCATAAATTCACTGATACCCTCATAAAGGAGCACAGACAGACTTTCTGCCCGTGTTCTACCCAGCCAGCCTTAAATTCTCCTCCCCTTCAGAAGAGGGTGCACTCAGATCATCACAAGAGAAGGTCTGTGTGAGAGCTTGGTTTGGCTTTAGCTTATTTTCCTTGGGTGAGTATTAGACAATATCATGGGCTTGTTTCAGTACTGGTTTAAGTAACTGCCTTTGATTTGGCCCTGCAGTGCAATAGCAGCTGTCTGCACACAGACGTGGCTGAGGGGCAGTGATGTTTAGTGCTCTCCTAGATGTGCACCTGTGATGTTACCTGGGCTAAAGGAAAAGGTGCAGATCAGTTTTAGGAGGTGCCTGTAAACACACCCCTGGCACCCTTTGTCTGGGGCTTGGCTGTGCTGTAAAGGACACCTTCATTCTTCTCTCTGGTGTCCCAAAATGACCTTGCCCAGTCTGTGAGGGTAATTCTGCAGTGATGCCTTGGGTAGTCTTGCTGGGGTTTCCAATAAAACTCCCGTATCTGTAGTAAGTCAGTTCCACAGGAGAGGCCGTCAAGTAAATGTGAGCAGTCGCTGTGTGCTGGTCAGGACTTTGCAAGGGTAAACTTAATTAGTAAAAAGCAAAGGACATGTGAAGGAAGAGTATATTTCATTCGCATTAGAGGAAAGATTATATTTCCCCAAATGGGTGTATCCACTGCTGGAGGTAAAATAAAGAGGGTAAAATAATATTTTCTAATATAGAACATGACAAAATGACCGTACATAATTTCCCGTGACTAGAAATAAATGTTTAACAAACTGCTCCCAATAGGCTTGTTAAAGATGAAATATTTATTACTATATGTTAATTATGGTGTTTAAGCAGTACTTAAGTAATTTAAGGGGTTTGGCTTCATCTTGCTTTCAAAAATTTCATGTGATTAAATCCTTCATTAGTTGTTCTTTGTGCTATAGCAGTTTGCACAAGCCTATCCTTAATTAATCAGTGTTTGCAATATTGATTATATTGTATAGAATGAAGAGTGGCAAGTTTTCTTCATGAGTTTCCTTGCCCAACCAAAATCAAATTCCATCACAATTAATGTTTTTGCATGTGGACTGAAACACAGTAACTTGTCAAGTCTAGAAAAATCTTATGAATACAGTGAAGTTATATCTTACTCCTGGAATATTAGTGTCTGACACTACCATGTTTGAGGAAGTCCACATATACTTTTTTAGGCTGCAATATATAAAAGAGATACACACTTACCATGTAAGTTTTCCTCCTTCCCCTGAACAGTGTAAGATATCAAAAGAACTGTAAATATTTAGCGCTTTTGCATCCTACGTACTGCCTTGTGCCAGCGTACCTTGCGCAAAATTACCCTGAGGAAAATTTTGGGTTTATCATGGCTTCAGGCTGGTGTTGACAAAACTGTTGTCTTAGAGCTGATGAAGAGCTGAAGCTTTGTGTTGCTGAGGGACTCTTCATTGCAACGACCTACTGCCTATTCGGAAGGAAAGATAAACAGAAATAAAGCAGCTTAATCTCCAGTGATTCTAAACGGTTCCGAGTTACACTCTTAGATAATTAACTTCTCCTGCGATGTGCTCATTTAATAGATACCTGGTCATATGTGACCATGTTTATTTAATGTGCTCTGCAATATTTATACCACAATACACCCTTCTCATTATAAACCAGACAGTCTTTAATTTATGTACACACACATATTCTGAAGAT